CGAAAAACCAAAATCAAAATGACAGCCTACATGCATATATGCATGCAGTTGCTGGCTTGGCTTTGCTTGCTTGCATATATACGACTTGGTTGAGCAGCAGCAATGGCGACTCCTAATAACCTCACATCACAACAAGAATAAAGAGAAAATCACTTCATCCATCATGCACGTTTATAATACTTGTTCAAACTTGCTTCTTCCTCTCGTGACATGAAATGGAACCCTTTTTTCAACTTATTAACAACAACTTAGCAGCTACCCAAATGTGATGAAAATAGTCGAATAGGAAGCTTCGACAGGCTGATACGTGGTGAATACACATTTCATCCCCAATAATTAGTTGGGACAATTGTGTATATTAGGCCTCGATTGACCTTTAATTAATTTCCTGACAGGAGAGCATGTATATACGTATGTTAGAACGGATTGGAAAACCGACAACACAACAAAGTAAAAAACACACAGATTTATATCATTATGTGGTTTACTAATATGATGTATGTTAGCTAGTTCACGGGCATAAATGACAAGTTTCATTGTACTTGAGAGGATACAAATTACAAATATTGGGAAGGTATATAGCACAGTCTCCAGACGGCCTAACCTGGTCCAACCTTGAAAAAAAAAGTTACAAACCATATCCAAAATAGTAAAACAAATGTGTATGAGCTCATACACTCTATGGGGTTCGTGAGAGTGCCCCGAACCCAGCGCTTCACCTTGAACCCCTGCTTGGTAACCAGACAGCAAAACCCTATAACTTCCACCCCACGACTAGGAATGGCAATGGGGCAGGTCCGGGGTGGGTTTCTTGGTACCCAGACCCGCCCCGTGGCTGGTCGGTTCCAGGTCTGGTAATTTATCACGGGTCGCAAGTCGGGGCAGGTCGACTCAATGAGTATACAATTTATATGAAAAACATTAGAAATATTCGTTATTTTTATTATAAGACCAAGAAAACAAGCAATAGTATGATAAATGTAGTTAAATTATTAGAGAAATTGAGGTTTTTACTAATTTACAACTTTATTATAGCTAAATTACAATGTAATAAAAGAAAATTCCTAAGTAATTTGACTATAATTACATGTAATTTAGACAAAATGGGTCGAGAATAAAGTGGGTCAGGACAGGTTGAGTCGACAAAAGTACTCATGTCCGCCCCGCCCCGAAACAGACCAAACGAGTCGGTAAAACGAATTAGGTCGAAATTGTCATCCTGGTCACGACATACAATTTGTCTTTAGCACCTACATTTTATCCCTTTGCCGACATTGAGAATATACACAGCATGCGTGAATTTATATCCCACTTGAACATTGTCATTGACCACTCCATTCAAACGTAGCTTTTATTAGTTGCAGTTTTTTCCTCCTCTCAGTAGGATTTGTTAGGTACCAAAATGGATATTACATATACATCCAAATCGTAATATTCGTAACCAGCTGCGCACGTAAAATACCTAGGAGTCAATCTTCCTAACTTTCCCGTCGTTTTCTTTGTTAGGAACAGTTTGACATTTTACATGATCATGCATGCATAATTAAACATTCATATCTCTCGACTCTCAAGTCTTTCACATCAAAGCCGTGTAGAAAAACTAGGGTATAACAACTAACAAATCCATGTCTTTCACATTAGCTTCCATATGTTCTTCTCCGTACTAAAATTGAATTCCGCGAACCTCGTACAAATAACTAATAAGAAATATTTGACTCATGCTTGGTTCGTATCGTTAGTCTAGCTAGCTAACAACAATAGTGTCCAACATTCAAATGTGATTGTCCAACTTTAATTTTGGTACACTTAGTCTCGATACGATAACAATAACATGACAGCTACAAAAAGAGAGCGAACAACATACTCACATGTCACACCATAGCTAGTTTTAAGCATACACAAAATCTAAAATACGTGCAATTGTGTGTAAACACTCAATTCTTTCCATCTTTTTTTCCCTTCTCAAAACCATTTCATGTATACTGAATTCGAATCTGTAGTACAACCTAAAACAGCCCATGGTAAAATCGCTGATGGACACAACACATACACTACTTTCGTGTATTCTTTTCTGTGTCTGCCCTCTTCCATGCCCTTTATATGCAATAGGAGGAATCTGCTGAGAGACACAAGCTCGAACAGGCTTCACCAGTCGAGCTCGAACAGCTCACCTTGTTTTTGCAATGTCCCCAAGTTGTCTCATTCGAGATTCGAGAGAGAGGGGGAAAAAAAGCACAATCTATAGTACGTTTCTCTTGCATGACTTGTCTGGTCTGATTCTTGCTTTGCCAAACCCTAATTACCTCTGCATATATTTCCTCTCTCTTTTCCTTATATATTTTCTTGCTCTTGGATAGCCAGTATTAGGGGTGGCTATTTGGACCGGGACCGGATTAAAAACCGGAAACCGGACCGTATAACCCGGACCGAGACCGGACCGGGACCGGATAGTAAACAATCCAATCCAATCTTTGGGTTTAGATTTGAGGTAAAAAACCGGATAAAGACCGGATAAGAGAGCTCAACACCCAAAACTTAAGGGTAATTTGCATAAACGGTCACAAACCTTTGCACTTAGTACAAAACTTAACCAACTCCTCACCCTTTAAGGCCTTAGGCCACTCAAATCCCACAATCTCAATGTAAAATCAAGACCAAATTGGGACCGGACCGGATCAAAACCGGACCGGATCAAGACCGGGCTGTATCCAATCCAATCTTCGGTCCTTATATCTTCAAAAAGACCGGACTGGACCGGATCAATTTGGGCCAATTTAACCGGACCGGACCGTATAGCCACCCCTAGCCAGTATAGACACCAATGCGTGCAACTTGTTCTGCTTGGCCGGTCTAGCTACTTCAAACATGTATATAGTAACATATCTATATACGATTTTGGATTCCCGTTGATTTCCCTATTTTTTTCTCATGAAAATATGGCCTTCGATAATTAAGATGTCATGTGTTCGAATCATGGAGACTCTCATTATTAAGCATCAGGTATTCGAACATGTGGAAACTTCAAAACCCTAAGTTAGCTTTTGTTTGAGCGAGTGTGTAAGAAAATTATATATAATCTATAACTGATTTTCTCCAAACCAGTTGTGATTATGAGAGTTCTCCGGAGCATATGTATAGATTAGAGGGGATTCAGGGGAAGACTTGAGTACATTAGATAGTATAAAAAAAAGAAATTTAACACTAATCTCTATCGTTTGTAATATTTATACCGCTACAATGTGCAAAATTGTGGGTTTTTATGGATAATGATATAATTGGGAGATTGATATTATATTTTCTAAAAAATATAAATCACTATATTACAATGATGAGAGCCGAGATAGATCGAGTAGATCCCTTAAAATGGGGCTTTATATGAGTAGTTTGTAAATTAGAAGTAGACATTTCTCTCTTGCATTTTCCAATCAAGCATGTGTTCATGTTTGTCTATAAATGGGTGTGTCTAGTCATGGCATTATTATTTGTCCATTTGCTTCGAAACTTTTCATAATATGTGTTTGCGTTGGAGCACCTCAAATCCTCAATCAACCATGATTATAATTTACTCATGTACTATAATGTAACTGAAGTTTCGAAAGGTATTAGGCGCAACGCAAGACATACGTTGGGTTTATGATTAGTGTCTAGATGTGTCTGTACATTTGAAGTGAAAATAGTTGATTTTAGTAGAAATTACAATTTTACAACAATTTTGTACTTAACTTCGGATGATTAATAACTTAGCTAACCTTTAACAACAAAGATGCAACATTGTTTACTCAAGGGTGATATCGTATTAATGGATCTTCATTTGTGTGTCATTTAGTGATTACTCATGGAAAAGACCGAACGATGTCGTTCTCAAACCCTACAATGACGCATATACTATTAATCAATTGTTATTCAAATTGGGGGAAATTGACATTACATGGTATGGAATCTCAAAAATCGAGGGCAACTTTGGTTCCGATTATGCTTGAATAGCAGCTTCAAGCCTCAATTTCTGGTTGGAGACAGAAAGAGATAGTCACTAGGTAAGGTTTTACATTGCAAGACAGACTAGTGGCAGTGTTTTCATCATATTATAATTAGTAGTCAGGATTATCTGGGAGTTTGTTGACCAGAAATACTCATGGAAGAGACTGAACGATGTCGTTCTCAAACCCTACCATGACGCATATACTATTATAACCATTTGTTATTCAAATTGGGGGAAATTAACATCAGATATTGGTATGGGATATCAAACACCAAGGGCAATTTTGGTTCCCATTATGCTCGAATAGCAGCTTCAAACCTCACTTTTCGGTTGGAGTCAGAAAGAGATAATAGTCACTAGGTTTTTACATTGCGAAACCGACAAGTGGCCGTGTTTTCATCATATTGTATTTTTAGTAGTGAGGAAGATCTCGGAGTTTGTTGACCATAATTAGAATTTGATGCACGAGGAGGAAGTCGAGACAGAGGAGGAATCAAACCGCATCCGCCATTGTATTTATAATCAGAAGATATGGAAGGAGCTATACACGACGGACATTTATTCGGGGAATTGAGAGGGAAGGTGAAGAATCCGAGAGAAGAATAAGACACATTAGACCGTAAAATTAAAATGTTCGATTTTTTTATACAAGGAGATATTTGACCCAAATGTCCAATTTTACAAATTACCCTTCCATACAAAATTGAAAATCACAAATAATATCATCTTTTCTCATCCATATAAAAATGGAAACAGAGTAAAATTAGTGTGCACTATTGTAATACTGTTACAAATTTCATGATCTCAATTACATTCCAAATTGAACCATGCCTAAAGACAATCCACCAAATTTTTTTTTTTTCTTAATAATGTTCAAAAGAAAATCTCCAATGTGGATTTAGGTACACTTTGAGATCCCACAACCCAAAACCTACACCACCAGCCTCTTCCTCTTCCCTTCCCCTCTCCCTATATATACCCTCTCTTCCCCCTCTTTTCTCTTCACACAAACAGAAGCCCTCCAAACTAACACGCACACAAAGACACACACACCTTCTCCTCCTCCTCTCCTTCTTCCCTCACGCCAACAGCACCCACCATTTTTCCAGACAAGATCACAACCCACCACCAAAGAAACCCCATCGCCACCATGCCGGAAGCTCCAAAGACCGTCGCCGTCGCCAGCAGCAGCCACAACAGCAATGGCAGCCTCACCACCATTGTCGAAAAGAACAAGCGCGCCCTTCAGTTCATCGACGACGTCACCTCTTCCCCCGACGACATCCAGACCCACGTCCTCCGCGAAATCCTCTCCCGCAACTTCGACGTCGAGTACCTCAAGCTCCGCCACCGCCTCAACGGCGCCACCGACCGCCGCACTTTCAAGAAACTCGTCCCCGTCATCGCCTACGAGGACATCCACCCTGAAATCACCCGCATCGCCAATGGCGACACTTCCCCCATCCTCTGCTCCTCCCCCATCTCCGAATTCCTCACCAGGTGGAAAAACCCAACAAGCCGATTTCCAAAAAGATCGATTCTTTACAACAAACATTACTGACTCTGTTTCATTGCTCTGTTTTTTTTTTTTTTTTGCCCCTCTCACAGCTCTGGCACTTCGGCAGGGGAAAGGAAACTGATGCCGACGATTGCAGAGGAAATGGACAGAAGATCGACCCTCTACTCCCTCCTAATGCCGGTCATGTCCCAATTCGTCCCCGACCTCGAGAAGGGCAAAGGGATGTACTTCCTCTTCATCAAATCGGAATCCAAAACCCCCGGCGGGTTGCCCGCCCGACCCGTTCTCACCAGCTACTACAAGAGCTCCCATTTCAAGAACCGCCCTTTCGACCCGTACACCAACTACACCAGCCCCAACGAGACCATCCTCTGCCCCGATTCCTACCAATCCATGTACTCCCAGCTCCTCTGCGGCCTCTGCCAGCGCACCCAGGTCCTCCGGGTCGGGGCGGTTTTCGCATCGGGTTTCATCCGGGCGATCCAGTTCCTCCAGAAGCACTGGCCGCTCCTCTGCCGCGACATCCGGGCCGGGTCCCTCGACCCGTCCGTCATCACCGACCCGGCCGTGAGGGAGGCCGTCCTCACCAAAGTCCTCCTGCGACCAGATCCGGAACTCGCGGGTTTCGTCGAAACAGAGTGCGGGAAGGATTCGTGGCAGGGGATTATAACCCGGCTCTGGCCCAATACCAAATATGTTGATGTGATCGTGACGGGGACAATGTCGCAGTACATTCCCACTCTCGATTTCTACAGCAATGGTCTGCCGCTCGTCTGCACAATGTATGCTTCTTCCGAATGCTATTTTGGGGTTAATCTGAACCCGCTCTGTAAACCCAGTGAGGTCGCTTACACCTTAATTCCAACCATGGCCTACTTCGAATTCCTCCCTGTTCACCGTAACAGCAACAATGGGGTGTCCAATTCCATCTCCATGCCCAAATCCCTCAACGAGAAGGAGCAGCAGGAGCTCGTCGACCTCGCCGATGTCAAGCTCGGGCACGAGTACGAGCTCGTCGTCACCACTTACGCTGGTACAAAAAAAATCCCCCCAATTTCGCGAAATCAGAATTCTTGCAATTGGGTTAATCTTGCTCTGTTTTGGATCTTTAATTGTTTTTGTTCGCGATGTGGTTGCAGGGTTGTACAGGTACAGAGTTGGGGATGTGCTGCGAGTTGCAGGGTTCAAGAACAAGGCGCCGCAGTTCAACTTCATCTGCAGGAAGAACGTGGTGCTGAGCATCGACGCGGACAAGACCGACGAGGTGGAGCTGCAGAGCGCGGTGAAGAACGCGGTGGACGCCCATCTGGCGGCGTTCGACGGGAGCGTGGCGGAGTACACGAGCTACGCCGACACGACGACGGCGGTGCCGGGGCACTACGTGCTGTACTGGGAGCTGAGCTTGAAGGGGACGACGGCGATCCCGCCGTCGGTGTACGAGGATTGCTGCCTCACCGTGGAGGAGTCGCTGAACAGTGTTTACAGGCAGGGGAGGGTGTCCGACAAGTCGATTGGACCGCTGGAGATCAAGATTGTGGAGCAGGGGACGTTCGACAAGCTGATGGATTATGCAATCAGCTTGGGGGCGTCGATCAACCAGTACAAGACGCCGAGGTGCGTGAAGTATGAACCGATCATTGAGCTGTTGAATTCGAAGGTGGTGGCCAGTTATTTCAGCCCCAAGTGCCCCAAATGGGTTCCTGGTCACAAGCAGTGGAGCAACAATATGAAGAACTAGAGGTGGGGAATGGATGGATCGTGGATGGAGATAAGAAGATTTGTTGCTCTGTTTCGCTGTTTTGTTTAGATGAAGAAAAAAAGTAGCTTCTCTTTTGGAGAGAAAGGTCTGTCATGATTATTGTTAGTGACCAGTAGAGGTGCATGGTGGATAAACAAACCAACCTTTTGTTTTTGTTGGGTGGTGGTGGTGGGGAAGGAATGTTGCTCAATAACCCTTTCTTTGCCTCTGTCTCTCTGTTTCTTGTTAGGTTAATAATTACTTAACCCTCCTTTTCTTCGTTCTTTTCGTTAATGGCTACTGTCAATTTTTGTACTTTCATATCTTTGGGTAATTAAATCTGTTTGGGACAGAGAGAGATCTTTGAACTAGCAATGTACAAAACCAGTTCCCTGTTTCAACTTTCAACTATGGCCTTCTTGTTTCGGAATTACATATTGCGTCTTGAAATGCTGTCATACGAGATCATACATCTGAATTGTCATACGCTATCTCGTGATTACTCGTAAACCACATTTTTCAAAACAAACTGTGCTCTGTATAGATATGACAGAAACCATAAACATGTTGTTATAGTACAACTCAAGTTACAATCGAAAATACAAAAGAATGTGACTATTCTATAGTGTCCAGCTAATCTAATTAGTACGAGAACTTTTAACAAGTACCCGAAAGTAATTTCAAGTGGGTTTTTTCCCAACCGAACAATATCGTACTAGTAGACATAAAATGGTGGAACTGTTGTAACCGACGGGAATTTCCTTTGTATTTTTCCCCCCGTTGTGGAGATCGATGAACTCTGTTATGGGGAATGGATTCAGAAATCCAGGCAGGAATCCTGGCCGCTTTATGAGAGTCTCATGGGGCCGATGATCGAAAACGGCAAAGAAGGGAGGAGCCACACAGCCAGAGTACAGTAAAGCCAAACCCCACTTTTGTACTCTCCTCCCCAAGTTCCAGCTTCCGGTCAACAGGAAACCACACGGACCTTAGCCATTACTCACTCCAACGGAACTGAAAAAAGTAAGTAAGTAAGTGCAATAATAATGGAAACTCTGTTTCGAGAAGAGAAAACTAAGGTCCACTAGGGCCTCTGTTTGCTGACTTAATCCGCAAAGGGACTCTCTCTGGCTGATCCAACAGACCGAATCCCGGTGACGCGCAGCAAGATCAAAGCCGACGCCATGGCCGTATTTCAATCGGTGAAAATATCTTTGGGGGAGAGAAAACAGGGGATTTTTTTTTCTTATAAAGGGAGAGAAAACAGAGGATTGCAGAAGATTTACCCTGTCTTTTTAGGAAAGAAGTAAAGTGGCTGGCCGGGTATGATAGGAGCTAAACGGTGGAGTTTTAGGTAGTCGGTTAGGTAAGTAGTGGTTCAACCGAACTGGTCAGATAGGTTTGGGATTTGACTGTACATTTAGTTGAGTTGAGTTGCAAGAAAGAATAGGAGTCGAGTTGTAATTCTCACCATTTCATATTCTTGAATTGACGATTCATCTTATTGTAAAAACTTATTTTCGTTTTCGATTCATTGAAACTCTATATGACATCAAAGTTGTGAAAGTCCTAAATTTCTTCCTCTTTCGATTCCCAATTCCTCTCTAATCTTGAAGAAGAGGAAGAATAAGTGATTTAGAAAAGAGAAGGATTATAGGAGATAGGCTGAATTATTCTTATTGTCAGATATTTTCTAGTTGAATGGATAAATTACATTATAATGCTGTAGCATGAATTCTGACCGTAAGTAACGAAACAAGAAATTCGAACGAGAGTGATGAATTGAATTGTCGTAATTGAGGGAAGGAGAGCTAAAGTTTGTGCAAATTTTACATGTAATTTTACCTATATTTTAAATATGAGAGGAGGCTACAGTCCCTCCTAACTTCAACCTAGTTCCACCACTGCGGTGACCACTAACTAATTAGTAAATAGTAATTTATTAAACTACTCTTGACTTGTAGGCAGTCCAATAGGTATCATTCCTAACTCCAAAATAAATTTGTATGAGTCAAGCAATCGGTTAAAACGTAGAACTGTGTATAAATATGGGTAGTTGGGGGAGGTACTTAGTTTGGCAAGCCATCCCATCAGACAATCTTAAACCTCCTCCTTTGGCTGCTGGAAACTAGGTTGGATGGCACAAATAATGAACCATCAGAATACAAATAAATATTTTGTACGGCTAAAGTCGTCTTTAAATTATTAAAGAAAGTAAGGTTTATCATTTTTATTCATACTCTCACTTTTATGGTTAAAACTTGAAATTTCTATTTATTAGTGCATCATTGCATTTATGTTCAACTTGTATTCATATCAAAATAACACGTACAAAATAAGAGGTACAAACTACAAACAAGTACAACACTACTCCGGCCTGTACGTGGGCAACGGGCCGTGCCGCCCACGGGCTAGCACGACACGGCACGGTTAGAGCACGGCACGAGCACGGGCACGAAATAAATGGGCCAGCCCGGCACGAGCACGAATAATGTATGGGCCGTGCCGGGCCTAAATTTCATGGGCACGGGCACGAGCACGGGCACGGCACGGTATATAAGTGGGCCGTGTCGGGCCTAATATTTTCGAGACTTTATTGAGTATAAGAACAGACATAGCACGAAAATAATATTTATTTGATAGAAAATAAATATAAAAATAATTATAGGTTCAAATATTACAAAACACAAGCAGAAAAATAATTATTTGTTGTTGTTAGAAGTGTCATAAAGATATATACGTAATTACTAACATAAGTAAAAATGGACAAAGAATTAAACAAAGACAAATCACACTCGAAATATTTCCAATTTTCTTTTTCCCCCTCATTTGTTACTTTTCTCAAACATTATCGGTTAATACTATCTTCCCCCGTCCAATTTTCACCTTCTTTTTCATTCTCTCTTTTGTTTTCGTTCTTTTCACTAAACACGAATACGAACATGACACGAGCACGAATAGGCACGGCACGATTCGAACCGTGCCCGGGCCTGGGCCGGGCCTAGCAAAGTTGACAAATGGGCTTGCATGGCACGACACGAAAACTGACGGGCCGTGCCAAGCACGGCACGAAATAAATGGGCCCAAAGCGTGCCCGTGCCGTGCCGGCCCAAGCACGGCCCAGCGCCCATGTACACAGTCCGGCCTTTCCTTTTCTAGCCGCGTGGGCCGACCTTCGACCCAACCTCTCCTTTCTGTGGGCTTTACTCGTTCGCAACTCCACCGGGCCTAAATGTGGCCTTTGTTCCATCCTCTCTCGTGTGATTCGGTGGACAATTATTAGAGCCCGACCATAGACCATATCCGACCAATTTACAAGTCCAGCATAGACAATTTTTCACTAACCATACTAATAATAATAAACATGGGAAATGAAGGAAGGAATCTCAATATTGGTCAAATTTAAAACTAATATCCGCGAATTAAAATCCGAGATTTGAGCCGATCGTGTTGTTTCTGTTTCTGATACCAAAGGAAACTGATCCACTTCCAATCCCAATCCAAGTGTTCCTTCCCGTGGCGGTTACTTCAAGTCTAAGTTAAGTCTACCTCTTTCCACCCAAAATATCTCTTCTTTTTTTATTTTTCTGTTTATTTATTATTTTGCCTGGATTATCCAAGAGTTTCCCCCATTTTTTCCTTTTATTTTCCCCTGGCTTTGAGGTTCCAATTTCCCCAAGAGTTTCCCAATGTGGCTCTAAGATCAGTCTCTCCAATTCCAATCCTCAACGCTATAATACTAATCAATTCCCCACCCCGATTTCCCCGTCGCGATTCCATCAAACAGTTTAGGGATTTCCCTTCCAACTGCCGATCGATCATCACCATGGGAGGAGGAGCAGCCATGCGAACAGTGGCCAAGGTCGCCGGTGTCGGCGTCGTCAACAGTGGATTCCGCAGCGCAGTCTCCGGGTTACCTCCGGCCGAACACTCCGTCCGCAGCGCATCTCGCCCCGTTTCTGCGGCGATCTCCTCCTCTTCGTCTACGTCGTCCGGTGTAGCTGCGGTTCAGCGCCCTGTTTTGGAGCTCGATGAGTGGGAGATGGCCGGCGGCGAGGAAGAGGAGCTGATGTTGTTGGATTCCTTGGAGCCGAGGCCCAGGCTCGTGTTTGGCGGCCCGCCGACTTCTCAGGAGGCCAAAGAGGCCACCGCCGAGCTCAAGGACGCTCTGGAGAAGTAATCTCCCGCTTTTCTATTCGTGTTGATACCGGTTCAATTCAATTCAATTCAATTCAATTCGTCTGTGTTCTTAGTTATGCTCAGGCGGTTCAGATAGGTTCTATGATCTGTGTTTTATATCCTTGCTCTGGCAACTCAAGATCAAATTTTGGTCCAATCTTTAACATTAGGGTAGTTTGTTCTTGATTGTCATATCTTTGGGATTTGACCATTTGTTAGCTATGGTAAATGGTTTGTTGTAAAGATTTTTTCTTTAATGGGAATGCAGAATATCTAGCCCTACATATGGAGGATCTGCTGCCTCAATTGGATTCAGTGACCATCTTGGCGTCCCTTTGCTTACAAGTTCTGAGCTCGAGACTAAAAACTGCCTGGCTTGCGAGAGAAAAGCAGCTCCAGAATATGCTATCAATGCATTGAAGCTGCTAAATCAAAGTCCCGCTGCTCAGGTTCTGATGCTTGGTCTATTTTAGTACTATCCGATAGCTCTTGCTGCTGATCCAATTTCTGGTTATCTAGATGTTTCCCGCCATCGCCAGTCTTATGCTTACTTAGAACTGGGCTTCTGATTCTCTTCGACTTGTATTCTCTTAATCCAGCTGTTGTTCTAGTGTCTAAGTTCATTTAGCAACTGAGTGCATTTACATTCCTGATGACGATCTTCCATTCTGTTCTCTTTTGAGTGCTGAAGCCTTTAACACTTTGGAAGCCTGTAACATTTTGTTGATCACTTTTGTTTATTCAATGTGGAATGTTTTGCGCTTGTTCTATTTGAACCTGTTTTTGCTGCGTGTATAATTATTCAGCCTCTAAGTCAGCCATCACCTCTTCTGCTACTTGATGTGTGTTGGCTAATAGTCTCCGTTACTGACTATACTCCGTTTCATGTTTCTTTACTCAGTCCGTCGTGGTTTCAATTGCATCGGACCCAAACGTGTGGGATGCGGTTATGCGAAACGATGCACTTACTGAATACCTCCAGTCCCGCAAGACAATTACAAGCCCCGTGAACGAGGCTTCCACAGAATCTGTTACAGATTTTAGCTCTGAGGACACAGAACCTGTTGCATTCCAGGAGTCGCAGGCCGGGCTTATGGACTACCTAGATGACATCAAAGTTAAGGTGGTGGACATGTTCGGCACCGTCTCCTCTTTTCTGCAGAACATGTTCCAGGTGCCACCTGCTGTAGGGGGATCTGATGAGGGAGATGCGAAATCGACGTTCATGGAGAATGCTGTGGGAGCATCTTTCTTGGGTTTGGCTGTGATGGCTATCATGATGGTGGTGCTGAGAAGGGCCTAGCACGATCCTCTCAATTTGCCGACCCTACACAATTCTGTTGCTTTTGATTCAGGAAAAATAAAAATGGAGAGAGGGTGTGTTCTAGTCATGTAAGTCCTTTTGCACATACTATGACTATGTTAGGTTATGTCGATAATGTGTGAACTGCCGAGTCGATTGAGCTGTTATGTTCTTGGTTCGGACATAATACCGCTATGGTCTTTCACCAAGTATTGGCAATGGCTTATATCATGTTTGAAAACTGGTAGTAGAACTGTAGAAGTAAGTGCAGTCTCTGCAACAGGTATCTAAAGAAAGGAAGGTCCTTATTACTTCTTAGTTATGGGGTAGCTTAATATTACTGTTCTCTAATCCTGTTTTCTAATGAAAACATAGAGCCAGCTCAATACCATTACTTATTATTCTTGATACCATTTCAGGTTTAGAGACATACATACATTTAGCATATTTATGTTTTGGTCACTTCCCCTTCTGCATATTCAGGACAACCCAGATCAATTCAAGGACAGAAGGTGACCTTATAGTCAGTCCCAGTCTCCCAGAAGGTCACGTAAAAGTGCTGGTCTGGTCATCTTTAGGGTAACTATAAGCATCAGGGCACCTGTCCTTGAAATACCTCGAAAGATTCGTAGGACCATAGTTCCCCGAGTTGCAGCAGAACTCCTCCCTCTTCAGCTGCGGGCACGCCCCGTTGCAACCCCCGGGCACCCTCAGCTCGTTAGGGCACTGCGCCATAATGTTATACGCGCACCGGATCACGCGACCGCAGTTCCCCGACGCTGGGCGGAACTCCATCGGCACGTTGTAGCCGTCGATCACGGAGATGTCGAAGAAGTCGAGGTCCATGTACTGCTTCAGAGCGTATTCAGCTAAGGTGTTGGGGGCCGCACCGTAGCCCTCGCAGTTTAGGACACCACCGCAGTCGCCCGTCTGGCACCTTCCCCTTCCCGCACCATCGAACTGGCAGTTGGTCCGGCCCCAAATCCGGGCCCCGGTGGTCCCAGGCGCCACGTAGATGGTCCATGTATCACCCCTGTTGAGCTGGCGGCCTCCTCCAACGGGGACCGAGGCGGCCCAGACGGTGTACGGACACTTGTTTGTTATGTCGAAACGGGCGGCTTCGACATGACAAATGATTGTGAAAGCGATGACGAGTAGCAGGGAGATGAACTTAAGGGACATTGTTAGTGATGGATCAATGATGGGAATAAGTGTTGGATCAATGAAATGTTGGTTTTGTGGTGAAGGAAAAGAGAGGAAGGGATTGGAGGTTTATATAGGAGTTTTGGAGTAATGGGGGAATGTGGAATTTTTTTGGTCAGGTGGAAATTTGGGTAGACTAGAAGATATTTTAGCCTCCACTTCAATATATGGTACATCATTTCTCTTCGGGATATCCCGTGAAAAATTGGAATACATGTTAGGTTATCAATCATGCTACTAAGAATTTCATAGATCAGTAGCCATTTAGCAATGACAATTATAACATCACTCATAATCATAAATATTACATACCGATACTCATGCTTATACAAAGCATCAATATGGGGGGGTGGGGGGCGATTTGTCATTCGATTTTATGTGGTTGACTATTTTAACGATATGAAACTAGTACAATAGTACAATACTAGTTGAAAGGTATTCCGCCAATCTGCTACCGATTAAATAAGATTGTACCAATAGAAAAAGACAAAATTCATTTGTATAGCCAAAACTGACGTTTGTGATAATAATAATAGTCACTTTTTGCGAAATACCATTAATAGCCGGAATTTTGAAAGTTTGAAGACAAATATAGCCATTTTTCGTTACATAATTTAACGGCGTCAGTGACACCGTTAGTCATTAACGGAACGGTTACCTGGCTACCAACTCACCCTCTCTTTCGTTTCCACCTGAGCATTCAATGACGGGTGGATGACACGTCATTTACAAAAAGAAAATTCATCCTTTTATTTTAGTTAATTTAAATAAAGCAAAATTACTAAAAAAATTAAGTAAAACAATAATATATCCACAGTTAAAAAAAAAATCCCCCACCCTTCCAGTACCTTTGCTTCTCTTCCATCATCTCCTCCCACTCCACCTCCACCACTGATCCTAAACTACTTTCTTTTCTCACCACACAAAATAGAGAGCATGTCTCTTCTCAGACTTATGAGCAAATCGAATCGACGAGGGAGAATTTGGTATTTTTGGTATTTCGTAAAAAATGGTTATATTTAATCAGATTATCAAAGTTTTTTACTACACAGATGTATTTTGCGATATATTAAAATATAATTTGCACAAACTATGTGAGACAACATCGCCAAAAATTCTACGGGAGGGTTAAAAGAGCTCGTTTCAATGGTGTTAAATGTTAATTAGTTTGGCAAGTCTTTTGGGTCTTGCTAGTGGAAGAATGAAGGATAGCACATCATTGTTTCAAAAAAACATGTTCCACAGATAATGACTATGATAGATAATTAATCACAGTGGAGTAAACAGTTTCCTCGCACCAATTTTCTGGTATTTAAACATATATATACCTTACCTCATGAAGCTTTTGCGAAGAATCGTGATAATTTGTTGTGTTTTATTATATTTCAATATGATATGGCAAATTAAAAATAACTGATTCGTTTACTGATAACTCATCTACTTAATAGTAAACCATCATAATTAACTGTTACATAGGATGAATTTAACGGAACGACCAGTAATCAACTGTGAAATAAGAGATTAAAATTAGTGATAACCAATAGAAAATTTTGGATTGACATACATAAAAGAAATTGGAAAGTTGAGGGACCAAATGTGCAACTCACCCGTGATAAAGTTGTTCCCTTCGCCAGTCTGCAACCTGTTCGTTGCCCTGAAGGGGTTTAAGTTTTCACAGCTAAACCCTTGTCTGTCCCGAGAGAGATTGAGTCGAACTGTTCACGCTCAATCAAATCATGGCTTTGAGATCCTCCATGTCGGCTCTAACGGCCGGTGCCAGCAGCTTACGGCGGATGTTGTCCACCGCCTCTACCACTTCATCCATCTTCTCAGCGCCCGCCGCCGCCCCTTCGGCTCGTGAACAAGCCGATCCCAACGTCAACCTTTTCGTCTCCGGTAACCCTGCTCACTCTCTCATGTTTTGATTTCCATCCCAGTTCTGGGTTTTTTTATTGTATGAATCTGTTCGTGATTTGTCCTCTTTGCTCTTTCGAAGAATTGGGGATAATCGAAAGAACAGAGAAAGACAGATACTTTCGGGGGGTTTTTGAACTAATGAAGATAGGATTGAATTGTTTCTCTTTTGTTTTGTCCCTTTGATGGTTGCGTTATTTATCCAGGGTGTATACTCATAGGAGTATCATGTGCAGTTATGGATGTTTTTGGCATTTAGATGGGTTTTTGGTTTAATTGAAGCTTGTTGGGCTATCCATGCTTCAGTTGTTGCGGTTGTATTGTGTAGTTGGCTCTATCTGAACTCGAAGATTCGATGGAAGTGGATCGTTTCTGCTGTGTTGGTTAACTATCTGTAGACAGACCAATCTCTTCAAATGATTTGGATACCCTGGTCATAGCTCATATGAGACACATTTTAGCTGGCCTGTAAACTTTATATGCAGATAATGTATGGGTATATGCTGGCTTGGCATTTGTTGTCGAATAAATTGTTTTATTTAGGTAAAGGGGAATGCTTGGACAGATTGGCATAGTAGTAATATATGTGAGTCACTGCTAATAGAGTAACCATGGGTAATGCTTCATAGCATTTTACTTGATAAGAACTAGTCCGAGTTGAATTTGGTTCTCGAAACTTTTAAATCAAACTGCTTACGCAAAATAACTATCGTACCTTAATATACACTCAAGATTTTATTTTGATGTCATAATTTGTAACTCAGGTCTAGCAGGTCACAAGACATTCTCTGTTTAATTTAATCTTGTTCCTACTGAACCTGGTTGTTGTACTACTGGCTTCTTTTTTCCATCATGGGAAGGCTCCAGTTGTGGTTGGTGCAATATAGTGTAATGGCACCCTGCAAGTTTTTTTTTTAACCAACTGTTTTTGGATGACGAGGGAACCTTTGCGAATGCTAAGGTAGGTCGACATGATCGCCTGCTCAACCAAATATTATGAGGATGGGCCTTAAGATGTCTGTATTCAGGTGGAAATGCTGTTTTTGAAAATTGTATGGAGTTTATGCAATCGATATTTTTATTCAATATCTGTTGAGCTATAATTGCAAGGACTCAGATTTTTTGTTGTTGGTTCTATGCTGTTTGACTGTGAGGTGTTCATTCCACTATTTCATGATAACTGACTGACTGACTGTGAAAATTGATTCAGGGCTGAGCAAACGAACCACAACGGAAGGCCTTAGGGATGCTTTCTCCAAGTTCGGTGACGTGGTTCATGGTATATGGTCTCACTTTGTGTTTTCTTTCTTTTGATAGTTTGACGAAAGTCGATCTATCTGAAATTTTTTAATGCTATACAGCTAGAGTTGTCGAAGACAGGGTATCTGGGCATTCAAAAGGGTTTGGCTTTGTTAGGTATGCTACCTTGGAGGATGCTGCCAAAGCGATAGAGGGGATGGATGGGAAGGTGAGTTTGCCTTATTGTATTTCTTCTTTCTTTGAAAGGGCAGTATTATGTGGCATGAAACTTTTACTAGTTGCATAGGTTACATGAAACACAAGAAATCATTTCCGAGTTGTACGGTAAATCTATCCGCTGAAATTGATGCTGAATCTGAAAATAAATGCATAATAACGAAATATGAGTAGTAATGATCAGCCTGTATTTTGCAGTATCTGGACGGATGGGTTATATTTGCGGAATATGCAAGACCAAGAGCACCTCCTTCACCACCCAGTAGTAGCATGGGGCCTGGTAATGGTGGTTTTGGCTCCACATATGGGAACAGCGCGAGCTATGGTTTTGGCAGTAATGTGCACCCTGGTTACGGGAATAACGTTGCAAGTGCTGGCTACGGCAGCAACGTGAACCCTACTGCTTATGGGAGCAATCCTAGTTCAGCATATGGGAACAATGCAAGTCCAGGCTCTTCATATGAGACTCAGGCTGCTTATGGAAACAATCCAAATTCAGGCTCTTCATATGGGAGTCACACTACTTATGGGAACAAGGCGAATCCAGGCTATTCATACCAGTCTGTAAGCAATCCAGGCGCTGCTGCTTCATATGAGAGTCAGACTACTTACGGGAACAATGCAAATCCAGGCTCTTCGTATGGGAGTCAGACTACTTCCTACGGGAACTATGCAAATCCAGGCTCTTCTTACGGGAGTCGGACCACTTACGGGAACAATGCAAATCCAGGCTCTTCATACGAGTCTGGAAGCTACGCAGGCCCTTCGTACGGGAGTCAGACAACTCCATATGGAAACAATGCTCATGCTCATGGAAACATAAGCTCTGGGTTTGGTGGCCCTGGATACGTTAACACCACAAGTCCTGGGTACGTGAACAACGAAGGCGCTGCAACTTCTGGCAGCGCAAACCCTTCATATCGAGATAATACCACAGGCTCAGCTTATGGCAATGGCGGTGAACCTGCTGCACAGGGTAACATCACCGGCTTTACAGTGAAGCATAAGGCTCATCAATGAATGGTATGAAGTTTGCAGTCAACAAATCACATGGTGGACTTCTGCTGCTGCTGCTGCTAAGTTGTTCACCGTTCGTTGTGTCTACATACTTATGAACACCGTTCTTATCAAACAACATTTGTCCGAACTGGCCAATTTGTGAACATTTATCTGTGGTTTTCCGGGAATAAATTTCGAATGGTTTCTGTGAATGAGAGACTAGAGGGGTTTTGGTGAACTGGATTAGAGTCTCTGTGTCCAGGAAGAGGGATCGTGAATGAGTCGGATTAAAGATGTATTAGTGATCAACCAAAGAACAAACGGTTAAGCACTAAACAATAAATCGCTAATTTTTACATGATAACATCCAATCTGTTTATGAAAACAGAGAGAAAAAGAAGTCTAATTTATCTCTTGGTGGAAAAGATGAGCAAATCACAAAAACTGGCAAGGCTTGGAAAATGTTGCAATTTCCGTCGGAAAATATAATTAATGTCAAGCAGACGGCCGACAGACAAAAATGGCCGAATGCATTATGCTATCAACCAATATTTTTAGGGTTTTAAAAAAAAAAATAACAATCTTAGCGGCAGCCTAATTGCGAATTCATTGAATAACGATGAAGCTGAAAACGTATTTTATAATCACGGAAATAATGATTTTAACGAATTATGTTGCACAATGTTTTGTAGATTAAATGAACCTGCCCTCCTAAGGATATCCACATTGACCAATTTTTAAATAAAGTTGCATCTTGAGTTCTTGACGCTCCCATATAATTGCATTATGCAATTTCAACAATATATGTAATTATTGTATATTTAATTTTTTTATGGAATGTAATAATATAAAGATGGGAAAATAGTCTCGATCATCTGAAAAATCGTTGGTAAAATCCGACTGTACAATTTAGTTTGGATCGTCGATCATTAATCATGATTTCGTTTGGTCCATGGTGTGTATGATGAGATGTTTTGTTTTTCTTGGTCTAGTCTGCTCCAGACCATTAACTAAGCTCACTTTTCCAATTCGTGTTAGTAGCTCACTCGACCACTCTCCTTACTCTCCAACGAGATCCAACCTTATTTTGCGAATTATGTCTCTTCCTTCATTCACAAAACCACACTCCAACAGAGAATAGAAGAGATCGCTTCTTCATATAACGATATGTTTATATTTTATGATATCATGATAAATGTTGGGATGCTCTAGCTTTGTTTCTTTGTTGTTTACTTGGATTTAGCGTATCAAAATTAGACATTCATTTTTAGATTATTTTTTTTCTCTGTCGATGTACTATTTAAATCTATTGACATGTACTATGTGACATGATCTTTAATTTCTCCTCCAATCCCTTGAACCGTAGACGTTGGCGTTTCCCATAATTAATTAATTAATTATTGATAATTACGTTTCCCATAATCATGAGTTGTAGCCATTATGAGAAAAAAAGGGAGAAATCCAAGTGTGTATATATAAAAATAAATCCATATCGTCCACGTCATAATTAACTCCTCTAAATTAAATTTCGCGGGCCCGCCATTTTGCCCCCGTCCCTTACGATACCGATGTCCTTCCTTCCCCTTTCGCCACTCCGCCCTGCCCTGTCCCAAATGGCGTCCCCCACCAGATCTCTTCCCCTGCAAAAACTTCTCACCTTCTTCTGCTAATAATAATATCAACCACATTCCAGATCCCACCTCACTATCCTCCACATCTTCTTCTTCTTCGACTTCCAAGCCTGTCTAATTTTATCCCCTTTGTAATCGACTTCGCTTGTGCGAGGATCAATCTGGCTCGATGAAGTTTCTAATCGACTTCGTCTCTTGCTGCGGGAGCTCCGGCTGCGAAATTTCGAGCATGGGAGAGGCTTCTAGTTCGATTTCAGCGAGGAGGAGAACCCAGTCGGAGGAGACGCGAGGGCTGGTCTCTGGATCTGCCACGGCGGCGGGTGGTGGCGGGGCGGCTGTTTCTTCCTCCAACAGGGGACGCCGTCGGGCGAGAAAGAGGAGCAGAGCTGTGTCATCCTCCGCCGCAGATGGCGGGAGCGGAACGGGGCCGGAGGGAGAGTGGAAGCCGACTCTGGCGGCGATCGCGGAGGACAGAGTGGCGTTGGCGGTGGAGGAGAAAGCGAGGAGGGAGAAGGAGGAGAGGGCGGAGAAGAGGAAAGGCAGCCGCGGCGGCGGAAGTCGATCACGTGATGGTTCTTCGTTTTACGGCGAGGATTGCAGGTGAAACTATGCTTTTTTCTTTTCTCTTCCTTTTTTCCTTCCCCACCTTTCGCTCTCAATACCGGTGGTGGGATTTTGGGTTTCCCCTGTTTTTTTTTTTTTTTTAAATTCTTATTGCGTGGCTCTCTTTGTGTCTATCCAGTCATCACGCCACTAAACGGATGAAAAACCCAGACTAAATAAATCGAAATTGAAGAATGTCCAAGGCTGAAAGCTGTTCTCTTTTTTTTTTTTTTGTTTTGCAGGCGAAGCGGAAATCAGTTCGCCGGCGTTTTCCCCGGTTTCCCGGCGGCGCCGTTCATGATTTAGGGGGGCTGAAATGATGATTTATGAGTTGTACACTTGTACGGAGATGGTTTTGCTGTAAATACAATAAAGATTTCTGTTTATTGCTCCAAGTAACGGTCTTTTGAATATTCTACTCGCCCCTTTTTTGGATTCCCAACAACCAAGTCCAACTCTGTGGGAAGTATCGAACTTTTGAACGCGACGTTCTTGATTCTTGAGATACGATGCTCTGTTTTTTTTGTCGTCGCACGGCAGAGGATTACTCTGTTTTGGCCCTTTTGGCAATATGCGGCACCAGCCGCAGCTATAGCTTATGCGCTGTAACTAACTGGACCTTGTCATATTGTCTTCAATCCGTTGTGATTTGTCCCTTAGCAACGGCCAGTCGATCCAGAAAAACAAACAGGGGACAATTTGATGACTGCGGTGTTCTCCACAGTCGACCAATTCCATTTGGCCAGCTTCACTGCCATTCTTTGGTTTATGTGGCCAAGTGTTTGGTACTGGTGCGACAGAGGTGTAATTGTGGCCGTAGCAGCTAGTCAATAATGTTAGAGCATTGCCAGAACTGCAGGTAACTAGAGTGGTGGAGATTGGAGACTTGTAGGCAGTGATTGGCAATGGGGCGGAGCGGGTACCTCAATTCAAGGGAATGAAGAGGCTCCACCGTTTGTGATTGCTTCTTGCGGGTCCTAATGGAGACGTGGGTTTCAGAGTGATCTCATTAGGTTTCATTGGAAGTCCTACCTTCTTCCACAAGGTACACCGAAAAAAGGAAATCATATGTTCGACCGTAGGGAGAAGGTGCGACAGTTCGCAAAACAAAGAAAGAAATTTATCCAACTAAATCAATGCCGAAAAAAAAAAAAAACAAGGACATTCCTCTCAAACTGCTTGTTGGCGGGAACCATCTTTCCCGCCTCCCTCAACCATCCCGGACATGGTATCATAAAGCGGCTGATTCAACGTCTCCGGCAGGAAAAACGCCAGCCCACCGCCCACAAGCCCACAAACCGCGAAAACCGCAAACGGGCCGGACCCGCCCATCACCACCACGAACGGCGCCAGGATCGCCCCGAACTGCGACGCCTGCGTCGCACACCCCAGCGCCGCGTTCCTCACCACCGTCGGGAACAGCTCCGCCGCATAGATAAACAGTAAATTATACGTCCCGGCCATCCCAAATATCCCCAAAACCCCACACACCATCTTCACCACCTTCCACGCGTCGCCTTCCCCGCCAACCACGCAGCCGAGCAGGCAGAACACGCCGCTAAACCACTGCGTCCCGATCGCCAGCGGCTTCCTCCCAAACCTCTCCAACAAAACCGCCGTCAGAGTGTACGACGGCATCTCCGCCACCGCGTTGACCAGCACGCTGACGTACAGATTCGTCTCCAAATTGACCACATTGAGGCTCAGCCCGTAGTAGACCACCGCGGATAAAAAGCTAATCGCCACCGCGAGGACGAGTCGGGTCCGGGTCACGGGCGACCGGATCACGTCCACCAGCGAACCCGACGCGGTGGTCCCCTCCCCTGCCACGTCGTCACTCGCCACGTCCTCGTCGAGGGCCAAAACGACGCCGTCGGGGAGGTGTCGGCGGTTGGACCGGGCGATGGAGCGCATGATGGACATGGCCTCCGCGACCCGGCCGCGGACTAGGTACCATCGCGGGGACTCGGAGATGAAGGGGATGACGAGGATGAGGAAGAGGAAGGAAGGGACGGAGGAGGCGATGTAGAGTGATCGCCAGGAGGTGGATAAGTAGGCGGCGATGCCGGAGAGGATGGCGATTCCGGTGGAGAAGAAGTAGAAGGTGGACATTCCCGCGGGCCCGCGCTTTGTTGGGCCTATGGGCTCGGTGGCGAGGACGAATGCGCAGAGGCCCACCCCGCCCGTGCTGAACCCGGTCAGGAGGCGGATCAGGAGGTAGGCCCAGTAGTTTGGGGCGAATGCGGTTAGGCAGCCCAGGACGGCGTTGAGGAAGCAGACCACGGTTAGGGAGCCCTTCCGGCCCAGTTTCGAGTCGGAGAGGTGGCCGAAGATCCCCGCACCTGGAAACAACCATAGTCAGCAAATGGTAGAAAGTTATGAACTTTGACAAAGTCCATTAAAAGCTTAACCAAAAAAGCTGTAACGCTCAATGAAAAGAAAACATTTTCTGAACACAAATTGGAACATGACAACAAGTTAGGTCATTTAACATCCAAATTTTTTGATCTATTTGTAAAAAAATAAAGTTTAGGTACTAAATTATAAATTTTTTGGGTACTAAATTATTATAATTTTAAAAACATAAGTGTGTTGATTTGAGCCGACCTATTGATTCGACTAGCGGCGCCCCGACCTATGATGATCAGACAGGATCAAGAAGGAAATATAGACGATATTGGTCGGGTCAATTATATAAGTAGACCTTGAGCCGATCTATTGATTTGGCTTGCCCGGCCCCGACTTGTGATGTGATGATCAAACAGGGTCAAGAAGAAAATGTGGACGATACTGGACGGGTCAATTATATAAGTAAACCTTGATCCGATCTATTGATTCGGCTTGCCCCGCCCCGACCTATGAGGATTACACGGAGTCAAAAAGAAAATATGGGCGATACTGGACGGGTCAATTATATAAGTAGACCATTTAAGGACGGGTCAGACATGATCATGAGCGAGTAAGAGGTGGATAAGACCAATTTTCAGCCATACATAGACCTAGAACACATATTATGTTACCTCTGAGTTTGGTTTCTGACACCACTATGTTCCCTCTTTTCATGATAGCTGGATTAGCCACACGTTTTCATGATAGCTGGCTCTGATGACCATATATTACCGAACTGGGGCTGGGTTATGGATGATTTAGTTATAAGAGTCATGATAAATGTGTTAAGAACACATATTAGTCAGAGTTAGAGCCTAATGAGACGACTCGTCAGTTCACATGAGTTTAGAAGCACGTTGGGAGGCAAGGTGAGGCATGTGAACCTCTCTGCTCCTTTATGTGGAAAAAGGGGTGAGACGTAATGATTTGTTAGAACTGCTGGAAAGTGGAAAGTGAAGAGATTGAAGGGCGCAGAATGCAGAAAGTAAAGATAAGCGCCGCGGCGTGGAGAGGAATCAGAAAAGGCTTTTTAAGTTTGAGTAGGTGAAAGAAAACAAAAGAGAAAGAAAGTAAGAGAGACATCATATCTTCAGAAGGTCAGGATAAGGATTTCTATCGAACCACATGCCATGTGTTAGTTAAACATAGTGCTGCTGCTGCTGCTGTTCGGTGCAGCTGCAGATCTGTCGCAATCTGCTGCTAACCCAGCATAATAAGGAAAAAAGGAGAAGGAAAAAAAAAAAAAAGAGAGATAAGAACAAAAGAAAGGGAAGCGTGATTGTCATGTATCGCAGCAGACTATGACACAATAGTATATTAGTAATATACTCTGTTCCGTTTGACCGCAACCTTCAAGTTCATTCCTACTGCTAGTGCTACGCATGTGTGAAAAAGGAGATTTTGACTATTCAATGAATCAGGCGGGCAATAGGCATGATCATGATTTTCTCTAACATCTTGATTCTCAATCAGACACAAGGGGACAGAGTCTAGTTTACGATGCGTCTCTACTAATCCGAGATCGACGTAAGTGCGTGTTTATAACTCAGTTCGTCCAGACTGTCACCTAGTGGTGGAGGTAATGCCTCTGCTTTTTTCCATTCCTTACACCGCCAAGTTTGGAGTTTCTAGCGTACTGAAGATTCCCAACAAACGGCTAGAAACACAACAACCCCAAAAACGACGACGTAACAAGCCCAAACAGCAGGAAGCAAAAACAAAAAGACGAGAAAACAGAGAGGTTGAGATGGGCAAGGAGAGTAGGAAATGCGATTTGATTTGGGATTTGGGATTTGGGATTTTACCTATCATGCAGCCACCGAAAAACGCGGCCTGGACCAGCCCGACCTTGTACTTCTCCCCGCACACCAGCCCCCACTCGCCCACCGTCGAGCTCCCCGGGCCCCCGGCCCACTCCCACGACCCGGGTTCCAGCCCGCAAACCCCTCCTTTCGGGTCGCACGACCCCGCGCCACCGCCCAGGCAGCGGAAGTCGGGCTCCCGGTCGGCGAAGATCATCACCATGGTGTGGAACGCCTCCAAAGCCCAGGCCAGGCTGGTGAGGACGAAGTGGCGGAGCTGCCACCGCCCGAACTCGCCGCAGTACTTCTGCAGCATGTCGTCTATCGTCAGCCGCTCGATTACCTTGGCGGATTCGGGTCCCGGGAGGAGGGGATCCCGGAGCCCCGACATCTGGTCCGGCGACGGCGGCGGCGGCGCCTCCTTGTTGACCCTGGTCATGTTTTTTTTCTCTTCTCTCCGGCTGGGAGGAGGAGGAGGAGAAGAGGGTGGAAAAAAAGATTGATGCTTTCGCAGCGAGATTGAGATTCCTTTCCAGATGCGTTCTATATAAAGGGACAGTGATGGTGGGATACGAGAGGAGAGGAGGAGGAGGAGACCGTATTGGCGATTTTTGGCGGCCACTTTCCGATTTGCGAAAAACAGAGTAAAACAAAAGGGGCCGAGGGTTTATTTTGCCAATTTTTCTTCTGTGAAAGGGAAATGTGGACCGTTGATTTGTCTATTTCGCCACGTGGACGGTGGGCGAGTGTTCTAATATGATAGGGATTGTACGGGAATGTTCCTTTAGATTCTTTATTTCTGGTCAAATATCGGGTTCTTCTGCTGCTCTCTCAGTTCCCCTGTCTTACTATACTACCAAGTGGAGCAACAAAAACAGGATTGGATTTGAAGTATGGAAAGCGTCAGTGTGAAAATTGTTTGAAGAGGCTTAGTTAGGACAGAAAAGGGAAAGAGGGTTGCAGATTAAGGCTAAATTACGATCGTAATTGATGGCTCCTAAACGATAATTTAGAATGGTAAAAATTGAATTCAATAGACAATCAAGTATCATTTCTTATGATTTTTCAGAATTTTCAAGCAAACAAACTTATGTTTTCACAACTAAATGTTCTATCTCCATGATTTAGGTCTTCGGCTTCTTATTGGGCTTGATCGTTATGGGCTTGGACTTGACCCTTGTGGGTTCTTACTTCTTACTATTAACTTGGCTACGGACCTATCTCGTTCAAAATGACATGGATTGTAATTAACAAACTCTTGGTCGTTACGAAGTTGGACTTGACCCTTGTGGGTACAGATGCATGATCTCCCCCAGTCTTTGAAAGATGAGGAGGCGGTGCAAGCAGTCGCATCGTTCATCTTCCCACAGTTCCATTGCATTGATCACTCCAACTTCGAGTTCAGAGGATGACTCAAGTTCATTAGAGCCAAAGTGGAGGTTAGCCTGGAAGACCCCATACCCATTGGGTTCGAATATCCGATCGGTGAGAGATCGATCTGGGTAAGCTTCAAGTACGAACGTATTATGGATTTGTGCTACTTCTGCGGACGCCTGGGTCACTTGATACAAAACTGCCTCGAGCGGGAAGACCACAGAAGAAAAGGCCTTTGCATCGATCCCTCCGAAGTATACACCGATGCCCTCAAGGCGGGGCATGATTCGCCGGCCAACATCCTGCCGGCGTCTTTCCGAGAAAAGCTGGCGAATATGCGCCGGCTGCCTAGTGCTGAAGCAGCGATACAACAAATCCGGGGGACCAGAGGGGAATCTTCCTTGCTAACCCTCATTGGACACCCAGTGACAGGGTCAGTACCTAGCCCAGTACCCTACTCCTCTGGGTATGCAGCCCTGCAATGACAAGCCAGAACTCAGAGTGGGTGTTCAGAGGAGACTCAGGCCCAGCAACAAGTCAACTGACAATTCTGGAAAAGGAGATGGAAGCAACAGCCAGAGCTATGCAAAGAGGGCTGGACCTAAGAGAGGGAACCAGAAGCAGAAGCAGGGAGAAAAACGCAGGCCTCATCGAGATGGGCCTGAGCCTGTCACTTGCAAGCCCAACCTTCTCGCCCGCGGAGCCGAGTGTAACCCCTGCTGCCTTTGATCAAGCCCAAGTGTTGTCCAACCAGGCCCAGATGATGAACAGCAGGCCTGCAAATGAGACAGAACCACAGGTAGATGAAGGAATGATTAGGCCTGAAAAGAAGAGGAAACCAGATCAAATGAGCCCAGTATGCATCTCTCTGCCAGCACAACAAATGAGCCCAGCGTGCACCTCTCTGCCAACACAGGAGCAGGCAACTAACTTTTCTCTTGATTCTCTTTCTTTTGTCCCAGGAGAAGGCAGAAAGACCTACCAGCGAAGGAGAAGCATTATCCGAAGGAAAAGCCTAGCAGATATCACAGCTGATGGGAGTCAGTCTGGGGAAGGGGAATCTCCCACCCCGAGGGCGTCGGCGGCAAGCCTCAAGCCGCCTGTCAATGAATGAGAATCTTAAGCTGGAATTGTAGGGGATTCGGCCAGTCCCTTACAAGAAGCTACTGCGGCAGGCTGTGCCGACAATTTGGCCCCTCAATCCTCTTCCTTATGGAGACGAAGAAAGAAGAATCGTTCATGGAAGGAAAAAGGAGGGGGATGAGGTTCGATCATGGAGAGTATGTGAATCCAGCCAGCGAAGGGAGTGGATTAGCGTTGTGGTGGAATGATGATGTGGATGTTTGTGTGTTGGATAGGTGTAAGTCCTTTATGGACATTAGGATTAGTCAGAATGGTGTGGTCTTCTTTTGTTCTTTTGTCCATGCTCCTGCCACGGCGGCAGAGAGAAGGTTTTTGTGGGATCGGCTTTCTACTCTTAGGGCGACTCAAGACGAGTCTTGGCTCATAGTAGGGGATCTGAATGTGGCACTTTTTCCTTTTGAAAAGCAGGGGCGATGCCCCCTGAGGAATGATAATGTAGTCCCGTTAAAGAATTTCATGGATGTCAATGGATTAGTAGACCTTGGTTTTTCGGGAGAGGTGTTTACCTGGACTAACAACCAGCAGGGCTCTGATTTGATTAGGGAGCGGCTTGATCGAGCACTTTGTACCTCTAGTTGGCTCCGATGTTTTGAGAAAGCAAGGGTGTTCCATGAGGACTTTGTGGAATCTGATCACTGCCCGATCAGAATCGATCTTCACCACTTTTTGCCTGCTCCCAATACCCCATTCCGGTTTGACAAACGATGGAGAGATAATGAGGAGTGCAGGCAGATCATCCACGATACATGGGGTTCAGGGGGTTCAATCCAAGGTATTCTGACAGAGTGCCAAAGGAGCATCTCGGCATGGTCAAAGAATGATAGGATTCAGAAGCTTAAGAGGGAAAAAGAGATGAGACGGAGACTGCAGGTTTTACAGGGACCCGTCAGGAATCAAGTTGAGGTTGACGAGGAAATTACTCTTCTGAAAGAGCTGGACAAGTGGTGGTCCTCGGAAGAAACCTTTTAGGCGCAGAGATCAAGGAATGGTTGGCTTCAAGAAGGGGACCGAAATACGGGGTTCTTCCATGCTAGCACTATTCGCAGGAAACATAGGAACAGAATTCTTAAGCTGAAGGATAACAATGGATGTTGGATGGAGAAAACGGAAGAACTTAATGAGCACGCCAATGATTTCTACCAGCAGTTGTTCGAAAGCAGGGGAGGGACCTTTGATCAGTCCCTATTGAATGAGTTCCCGCTGTTGGTTACTAACGAAATTAACGCGTGCCTCTCAGCCAATTTTTCAAAGGAAGAAGTGCGCAAAGCTGTGTTCCAACTTGGGGCTAATAAGGCCCCAGGCCCTGATGGTTTTCCAGGCCATTTCTTCAGGTCTTTCTGGCCATGGCTGGGAGATGCAGTCTGCAAGGAGGTTATCAATTTTTTCAGAACAGGAATCATGGATGAGGGATGGAATGACACTTTTATTACTTTGGTCCCAAAGGTGGACCAACCTGAATCGATTGGCCAGTTCAGACCTATTAGCTGCTGTAATTTCCGGTATAAGATCATATCGAAGATTATGACTATCAGACTGCAACCGTGGCTGCCAAGTCTGGTGAATGAGCTACAAACTGCTTTTACAGGAGGTAGACAAATACAAGACAATATTATTATTTTCCATGAAGTGCTTAACCAGTTCAAAAAGAGTAAGAAGAAGAAGAACAAAGAGATGATGATGAAGCTGGACATGAAGAAGGCTTACGACCTGGTTGAGTGGGATTTCCTTATCAGCCTTTTGAAGGCCTATGGTTTCAATGATACTTGGTGTGGTTGGGTGCGTGTTTGCATCTCAACTGTTAAGTTCAGGCTCCTGTTTAATGGAACCCCGTCGAATGAATTTACTCCTTCTCGAGGCATCCGTCAAGGGGATCCCCTCTCCCCCCTCCTGTTTATTCTGATGTCTAATGCTCTTTCTTTTCTGATTGAAAAAGCTTCCCAGAGGAAGGTGATCAAGGGGATTAAGTTGAATAATAATTGCCCTGTTCTCACCCATTGCCTTTTCGCGGATGACACAGTGATTTTTGGAAAGGCATCTGTTAGGGAAGCAGACCTCATCCTCAGCATTCTTAAAGACTATGGTACAATAACGGGTCAAGAGGTCAACTTGAACAAGTCATCTTTGTTTTTCAGCGCCAATGTTACCCCGGAGGAACAGGTAGCTATCACTCATAGCACTGGTTTTGCTGAAGACCGGATCCACTCTAAATATCTTGGAGTCCCCACTGAATGGGGGCGATCAAAAAAGGAAACATTCCAGTTCCTTCTCCAACGAATGGAGTCTCGAGGGGAGTCCTGGAAGAGCCTTCTACTCTCCCCTGGGGGCAAAGAAGTTCTTCTTAAGGCTGTGTTCCAGGCAGTGCCTTCCTTCATCATGTGTCTCTTTCTCCTCCCAAGATCAGCAACAAAGAGGATGGACTCCATGCTCAAAATTTTTTTCTGGAGCGGATCAACATCAAAGAAAACAATCCATTGGAGAGCCGGGCAAGTTCTGTATGCCCCAAAAGAAGAAGGAGGGCTTGGCTTCCGACCCTTTCACACTGTCAACCTTGCACTATTGGCAAAACAGGTCTGGCGAGCTATCACTAATCCTGAAGCTTTATGGGTAAGGGTCTTGAAAAGCATCTACTTCCCTAAGACGGACTTGTTAACTGCGAAGAAAGGGGGGAAGGCATCCTGGATTTGGGCTAGCCTTTGGGAAGCAATCAAATGAATGAAGCAGGGCATCATTAGAGTCATTGGAAACGGGAAATCAACACGAATGTTCCAAGACCCTTGGAGATTTGATCGACCGAGCAAGCTCCTTGATTTTGAATGGCCAGACGAGACAACAGTGGACCAGTGGATTGATGGGATCCATCGGGAGTGGAGATTTGACCTTCTTGCTGGTTATCTTAGCCCCTCGGATCTCTTACAGGTGTCGGCCACCCCAATTGGACCAGACTCTTTGGAGGACATCTGGGCTTGGAGATTCACGGATAGTGGCGACTTCTCAGTCAAGTCTGCCTTTCACATGATTCATAACTTGTTGCGGAGGGAACAGAATTCCCAGGTGGTTGACATATCGAGTAAAGAGAAATGGAAATGGCTATGGAGCCTTTCCCTCCCCCCAAAACTGAAATTCTTTATTTGGAAATGCACCAGAGGAGCTATTGCAACAAAGGAAAATCTCTTCTCTCGGCGGTGCTCGGTGACAAAAGCCTGTCCTCTCTGTGCTGAGGCTATTGAATCGATCCATCATGTCTTGTTTGAGTGCCCTCACGCGGCTGCTGGGTGGTTCCAGGGCTGGCCTTCTCTGGTTGTCCCCCCCTTTTCCACCCATTTGCTTGACTGGCTCTTCGCACTGCAAGACAGGTATCCCCTCCCCACATTCCATAAAGTTGTCTTCCTGTTGTGGCAGACGTGGAAAGCCAGGAATGAATTTATTTTCCGAAAGAAACCTCCCTGGCCACCTAGTACCATCTCTAAGGCTGTGAATGAGTCACATCAGTGGGATTGTTGCCCTGCTAAACCAGCAACCCCTCCACCTCCTATTCAGTTAAACCCATCCCCGGATCACCCTACTCCACCGCCGAGTATTCATCTCTTTGAAATACAGTGTGATGGTTCATTCTTTGAAACCTCACAACAGGCGGCATATGGCGTTGTTGTATCAAGTGTCCATGGACAAGTGTGTGACGGGGTAGCTGAATCCCTGCATTGTTTTTCATCAATTGAAGCTGAAGCAAAAGCGCTGTTTGAAGGAACTCTACTGGCATCCAGCCTCCAAGGTCCATGTCTGGTCCGATCTGATTGCCCGACCATCGTCAATGCTGTGCAAGGACTGTTGAGGCCGTGGCCATGGCGGGCGGCAGCATGGATTGGACGCACCATTAAGGCACTCGAAGAACACCCCTGGATCAAGGTCTCCCACATCAAGAGGGATGATAACACGAAAGCTAACTGGGTAGCTAAGTCTAGAGCAAAAAATGTTCTCCCAAGTCATTGGGTTCATGTTCTTGATGTTATCTCCCACCTTCTGTAAACAACTGTTTTTTTTCAGCCACAATGAATGAAAAGCAATACCTTTGGTAAAAAAAAAAAAAAACTCTTGGTAGCTACTAGCTAGACAAAATCAGTGTAGCCTTAGCCTAACATCTAGGGCTAAGCTGGTTCTTCATTCAACTTAATTGCTTGGAAGAAAGCCTTATAAACCTGAAACATTCTCCTTGTAATGTGCTTTTGAATTACCCCTTTGAAAGTGTGATCCTATACTATACGACAATAAGTGTAAATAGGCGCATATGATGTTCTCACCAAACTGAAAGGAGAATTGCTATAGTTACTATATTGCTTTTGATATAAATGAAGAAATTACAATCAAGGAAGCGGGAAAAAAGAAGAGGAAAATTGAAGATTTTCTTACAAAAATCTTGTGCTTTTTTAATTATGCAATTTTTCCATTTGTTCTCTCTTTCATTTATGACATGCTCTTTCATTCAAGCCATGCCATCATACAAAGTTGGTATCAAACGAAGAGCATTCTTCCTTCTGAGTGATGTTCCATAGTTTTCAGCCATATCGATACCTTCTTGTTTCATTTCCGATGGAAGTTCCCATCGAAAGTGATAGAGCATATTCGCTAGCGCGAGTTTAACAGCGACCATCCCGAAAGAAATTCCGGGACATACTCTTCTTCCTGCACCGAATGGAATGAAATGAAAATCATTCCCCTTGTAGTCGGTTGAGCAATCTAAGAATCTCTCCGGGTGGAATTTCTCGGGCTCGAGCCAATGACGGGGATCTCGATTGATCGCCCAGGCATTCACAATGACTTTGGTGTTGCTTGGCACAACATATGCATCGAGTTCCACCTTTTCTCCATTTTCTCTTGGAAGGAGTAGAGGAAGGGGAGGGTGCAACCTTAGACCTTCCGAGATGACCATATCTAGGTACGACAGCTGCTGAAGGCTTGCTTCGCCCACATCTTTTCCGCCCTCAGCACCTAACGTTTGACGGACCTCTTCCTGAACCTTTTGAAGCACTCTTGGACTTTTTATAATTTCAGACATGGTCCATTCCATCGCAGCTAGTGATGTCTCGGTACCAGCTAGGAACAATTCCTAATAACGAGAGCAAAAATCAAACTTACATAAGTAAATCGACATATATGAGGCAGAAATTGAAAGGTATTCATGTATAGTTGTTTTGCAATTTTACGGGATAATATTGTTGACAAAAATTACACACAAGGTCGAAAAGAGCTAGTAAAATAAGCATAATGTACTTACCAAAGTGATTGCTTTTATAACTTCCGTTGTAATGGGTGTTCCAAGGTCATGTCTCTCTTGCAGATTCAGAAGGACATCAATAAGATCCTCTTTTTCACCATCATCTTTTCTCCCCGCCCTTCTCCTCGAATTATACTCATCGATGATTCGATCCAGAACCGAATCCGCTGCTTTACGCATCTCCACGAGTTTTGCTCTGTACCCAGTGAGCACAGGGAGCAATTTGACGGAAGGATAGAGATCGGAGATTTTGAAACCAGTACATACATCCGAAATGTTGTCGACGACCATCTGAAACGCGTCGTTCAGCTCCTGTACTCTGCCGAACGCCGCCCTGGAAGTGATCGTACTGGTTAATGTAAGCAACATCCGTGTGAGGTCCACAGGCTCCCCTGCATCCGCCGCGCGAGACAGAGCAGCCACGAGATTGGAGACCTCTTCTTCCCTGACGTGGCGGAAGGATTGAACTCGCTTGGCGCTGAAGAGCTCCAGGGTGCAGATCTTGCGCATCTGCCTCCAGTGCTCTCCGTAGGGCGCCAAAGCTATGTCCTTGCGGCCGTAGTAGAGTACATCAGCAACCAGGAGATAAGGCCTGGTTGCGAAAGCTACGTCGTGGGTTTTCATCACTAGCTTGGCGGCTTCAGGGGTCGAGATTACAATGTAAGGGAGCTCCCCGAGCTGGAGGCGCATCACGTCGGGGCCGTATTTGCGGGCTAGGTCCCTGAGCCGCCGGTGGGGATGGTCGCCGATCATCTGGTGGATGTTGCCTATTAGGGGGAGCTTCCATGGGCCCGGCGGCGAGTTCGAAGCGGCGGTTTTGGTCCTCTGCTTTTGGGTGATGGAGAAGGTGACTGCTAGGATGATTGCTAGTGTGAAGAGGCAGGGGATTTTGAATGCTTCGAAGGAGGAAGAGAAAGAGATCATGTTTTGGCGGAGATGCTCCATGGTAATGGAAGTTCTCATTGTGGATCGGAATCACCCAATTGCTGTTGTGCTCTGTTTTCCGATCCCCTGCCACAGCTTGTTTTGTTGTATTATGGAGAATGACGAAGGGATTCCCCAATTTATTATCCATCTTCGCCGGCTGCCGGCTGAAGCGGGTGGGTTGATTACATCAATGTGTAACTCTTTTTTATCAATATATCTGATTATCTTTTGAAAAAAAAAAAAATAGTTTGGGAGGCAGTTGGTGTGAATATTTTTAACAATGATTAGGAATCTTCTTGCTGGACATATTTTGTGAATATTGTAACCGTTATTAATATTCATAAAAATGTGTTTATGAGAATTTTCCTAATAGTTGTTGGAATTATTCTGATCCTTTAATAGTTGACCCGGCCTGATTGAACATATAGGTTTATATTGCTAATGTTATTTGTGGTCAATTGATATAAAGATGGTAGTTAACAAATTATATTCGCTAACGTGACATGCTAATGTGTTCAATTAATTCGGAACAGGACAATGGATTTGTTGGCTGATTAGTACTGACAAATTAAAGTTAATCTTTTCTTTGAAGAATATTGGGTAAGTGGCTCTTTGTTAGTAACCCAAAAGACAAGTGACCATGAACGAGATAAACCCTTGCTTAATTAAAAAGATCAAAAATATAGTAGGGGATTTAATCGTATCTTGACCTCTGTCATCGATTACTCCGTTAACAAAATTTTATTGTGAATTATTTGGGGTTTGTGGAAAAAGTTAAAATTATCTGTAGTAATTAGGATTGTAAATGGGCCAGCTGAGTTTACTAGTTCTGGCTTCATACTCGTTTACTTAGATATAGAAGGCATATCTTAGATCTCTACAATCACAATGGATTACTCAGGTTACTGTATTTTATTGTGAATTATTGGGTTTTGTCTTTTGAGAAAAGTTAAAACCCTTTGTTGTTAGTTTCGTAAATTATGTGAACTTTCTGCACAAATAAATATCGAAATAGATTTCATTTTGTATATATGGAGTATAGTAAGACTTCATACTATATCATCACTAACATATTGGAGGTTCGACAACATGTGTAATAGACACATATGATGTTCTCACCAAACCGAAAGGAGAAATTACAACCAAGAAAGTGAATAAATTACAACCAAGAAAGTGGGGGAAAAGGAAAATGGAAAAAATTCAAAACTACACACGATATTAAAAAAAATTCTCAAAATACATACGTTATAAAAAATATTCCCAATCTACACATGTTTGGGCTTCACTGTGGTCGTCAACCGCAGTGAATAACATCACCGTGGTCGTCAACCACAATGAATACTTCACCGCCACTGTCCGAAACGGTGAATATCACCCTGTCCATTCACCGCCGGTGTCCCAAGCGGTGATGGCCTAATTTGGTTGGCTTCCTCTTCTTATGGTTCTGGTTCGAGTTCCCTGCTGTAGGGGCAAGTTCTTGGAGGGGGGAGCTGTAAACTCCAATGGCTGCAGCTAATGTGACCTCTGTTTTGTTTTGTTTTGGCAAGAGGTATATAATTAGTGGTTCTGGGTTGTTGATTATGAACCAACACATCTCTGCTCGATGACACATCATGAAGCGGCGGCGGCGGCAGTGACCACGCCAACCGCAACTGGAATAAGAACAAGAAGAAGAACTGCTCCTCTTGGTCCTCCCACCAACGGAGCATCGGAGATCGTGGCGGAGCCCGCGGACGTGCGGTCGAGGTCGCTAGAGTTTCTCGGGGGCCGGCGGTGCCCGGACCGGCGAAAGATTTCAAGCATCCGACGCGGCTGTGGTCGACGCTGGGTGCGATGGCGGTCAAGCACCCAAAGTACTGAGATTTTTTCCCTCCATTTCAGTCAAGTGCCAACGCAACAGCAACTCCGGCCATGGACTTTTGACCAATACCCAAATTAATCCATCACCGTTTGGGACACCAGCGGTGAATGGACACCGCTTCGGACATTGACGGTGAAGCATTCATCGCGGTTGACGGTCGCGGTGATGTTATTCACTGCGGTTGACAACCGCGGTGAAGCCCAAACATGTGTAGATTGGGAATATCTTTTATAACGTATGTATTTTGAGATTTTTTTTTAATAATGTGTGTATTTTTGGATTTTTTCCAAGGAAAATAGAATATCTCCTAACGAGAATTCTCACTTATTTATTACATATTTGTCGTTGGTTCTCTCTTTTATTTAGGCCTTGCTACCATACAAAACTGGAATCAAACGAAGAGCATTCTTCATTCTAAGTGATGTTCCAAAGCTTTCAGCCATATCGATGCCACCTTGTTTCATTTCGGATGGAAGTTCCCATTGAAAGTGATAGAGCAGATTCGCTAGTGCGAGTTTAACAACCACCATTCCGAAAGAAATTCCCGGACATACTCTTCTTCCTGCACCGAAAGGAATGAAATGGAAATCATTCCCCTTGTAGTCGGTTGAGCAATCTAAGAATCTCTCAGGGTGGAATTTCTCGGGGTCGACCCAATAACGTGGATCCCGATTGATCGCCCAGGCATTCACAATGACTTTGGTGTTGCTTGGCACAACATATGCACCGAGTTCCACCTTCTCCCCGTTTTCTCTTGGAAGAAGTAAAGGAATCGGAGGGTGTAACCTCAGACCTTCCGAGATAACCATATCCAAATACGTAAGTTGATGAAGGCTCGCTTCGTCCACATCTTTTCTGCCCTCGTCGTCGAACAGTTGACGGACCTCTTCCTGCGCCTTTTGAAACACTCGCGGATTGTTTAACATTTCAGACATTGTCCATTCTATCGCCGTTGACGATGTCTCAATACCAGCTATGAACAGTTCCTAACAGTAAGAGAGAGAGAAAAAAATCAAACTTACACAAACAAAAAAATCGACAAATATGCATATACGAGGCAGAAATTTAGAGGTACTTACCGTAGTGACTGATTTTATGACTTCCATGGTAATGGGTATTCCAAGATCATGTTCCTCTTGAAAATTCAAAAGGACATCAACAAGATCCTCTTTTTCACCACCATTTTCCCTCCCCGCCCTTCTTCTCGACTTATGTTCATCGATGATTCGATCCAGCACCGAATCTGCTGCTTTACGCATCTCCACCAGTTTTGCTCTGTACCCAGTCAAAACAGGGAGCAATTTGACGGAAGGATAGAGATCGGAGATTTTGAAACCAGCGCAGACATCCGAAATATTGTCCATGACCATCTGAAACGCGTCGTTCAGCTCCTGTACTCTGCCGAACGCCGCCCTGGAAGTAATCGTACTGGTTAATGTAAGCAACATCCGAGTCAGATCCACAGGCTCCCCTGCATCCGCCGCGCGAGACAGAGCAGCCACGAGATTCGACACCTCTTCTTCCCTGATGTGGCGGAAGGATTGAACCCGTTTGGCGCTGAAGAGCTCCAGGGTGCAGATCTTGCGCATCTGCCTCCAGTGCTCTCCGTAGGGCGCCAAAGCTATGTCCTTGCCGCCGTAGTAGATTATGTCGGCGACCAGGAGAGAAGGCCTTGAAGCGAAGGCTAAGTCGTGGGTTTTCATCACCAGTTTGGCGGCTTCAGGGGTTGAGATTACGATGTGAGGGAGCTCCCCGAGCTGGAGGTGCATCACGTCGGGGCCGTATTTGCGGGCGAGATCCCTGAGCCGGCGGTGGGGGTGGTCGCCGACCAACTGGTGGAGGTTGCCGATTACGGGGAGCTTCCATGGTCCCGGCGGCAGGTTTGAAGCGGCGGTGGTTTTGGTCCTCTGTTTTCGGATGATGAAGATGGTGAGTGCAAGGATGGTTGCGAGTGTGAAGAGGCAGGGGATGTTGGACATTTGGAAGGAGGATGAGAAAGAGATCATCTTTATTGGAAGTACTCTTTGTGGATCAGAAACTCCCATTTACCGTTTGTTATATTTATGGAGAATGACGGGGGATTTATCAATGATGTCATGAATTGGAGTATAAATCTGTATAATTGAATGGTTAATATATTACCGGTTTAACTAGTATTATATCATTAAAAATCATCGATGAACCGGTGATTGGTAAACAAGAATATCTCGTTATAAGTATAAGCACACTAAAACATGAGGGTACTACTTTTAAAAAAAAAAATTAAGTACTGAAATTCTGAAGTCTATAACGTTACATAAAGACCATCAAAATCTTAAATTTCTCAATTTAAGACCTGCGATCCGAAATTCAAAATTTTACACATATCTCATTTGGCATTCTCAATCGACATGTATCTGAATATTAAATAAGATAAAAGAAAGAAAAATACAAAACATTTACCATAATCTATCAATTTAAATCAATGAAAATATAAAAATCCCTAACAATTGATACTTGCTCTTCCAATAGATGGTGGGTCTTGTGTATCGAATGTGAATTATACAAACGGACACCTTAGATGGTTGAAGCTTCTGCGTCCCACTAAGGTTGGAGCTAAGAATTTTTCAATTAATAATTACAATTTCCAGCGCCTGAACCCATGCGAATCACGGTGCCCAAATTTTATTTTGTGTTTAATTGGACGGTTGGAGTGCTAGAAGTGATTAGCAATTTCAAACGCTTCAAATGGTTGTTAACCACCCGAAATGTTCATTATCTCCGGTTTATTTGGTTCATTTCGTCAGTCACCACTCATTATTTTGTTTTAATTAGTTATATCAACATGTCGCATCATTCAAGTTGATTTAAAATAGGTAACATTAACAGAGATGCGAGCTAGTTAACTAGTGGGATTAATTAAAAAATGTATGATATGTTACTGTTTGTTATTGACCCCAAATATACGTGAGACGTGACCATTCATGTAATTGACCTCATGCAACGTGAGCGAGACAAGTCTGACTTACAGTAAAAAAATAGGAGATCTAATCGTATCTCCATCTCTCCAATGGGATTCTTAATTTACTTTTTTTTATAGATTTATTATGTGAATCATTTGGTTTTTGTGGTTTCGAGAAAAGTTAATCAAATTCCCTGTCGTAATTCGTAAATTAACATGGATAATGACATTTCCAATTGGTCAATGGAACAGTTGAGTAGGCCAACATCCACATGAATCAACTGTTTGTTAGTTAAAAATATGCTGCTAAAGTGTAACAACAACAACTAGCTAGAGGTATAACAAGATTCTTCATTTCGTGGGGGGGAAAAAATCTTATATGTTTGGACCGTAGTTATATTTTGTGACCTGATTTGTAAAGGTCTTGTATGTTTTTATTAAGGTGCTTCAGTAATAGTATTTAAGTGGAGAATACTTGGTTCAAGAGGTTTTTAGTCACTTATGAAATTGTAACACAACATCGTTATAGCTCAATCCAATTAGAATCCCAAAATTAATTACCTTATATGAAAGGAGGAATTGGATACTTTTGGATATGGTTAATTCGACAAATGAGTTATTTGTTCATCGTATTTTTGTATCTATTTCAATTGAAGAATAGTCGTACTTATTCGAAACTCATTTCAAATCGCCGGACTCACATAGTATAAGTTATGGAATGATGAGAGGGGTTGTGATTTGTTGATGAATGTTTGATAACCCCTAATATAAAACTTGATTTGGCAAAGGAAAAGGACAGAGGATACATAAATAAGGCTGAACCACAAGTATGATCAAGAAATGATGCATATGGAAGCAAAAGATAACACAAATACATATTAAGCATCTCTCCCCTCCTCCAAGTTTGTTTTACCCTCAAATCACGTGATGGTATGGAACAGGAATCAAACGGAGAGGATATTGTCTCCTGAGCGTCATTCCAAAGCACTCGGTCATATTAGTGGTTTTCTCTTCGGTAGGAAGTGTCCAGTCAAAATGGAAAAGCAAACTCGCTAGAGCAAGTTTCACGATCGCCATTCCGAACGAAACTCCAGGGCACATCCTTCTTCCCGCACCGAACGGAACGAACTGAAAGTCGTTCCCCTTGTAATCGGTTGAGCAGTCCATAAATCTTTCCGGGTAGAACCTATCCGGCTCCTTCCAGTACCGAGGATCCCGACCGATTGCCCAGACGTTCACGATGACGTTGGTATCGACCGGGACCTCGTACGAATCGAGTTCCACTTTCCGGTCTCTGTTCTGTCTCGGAGCGAGCAAAGGAACCGGCGCGTGCAGTCTCAAACTCTCGGAGATGACCATATCCAGATACTTCAACCGATGAAGGCTCTCCTCGTTAAAGTTGTTCCCGCATTCGTCACCAAATACCCGCCTCGCTTCTCTTTGCGCTTTCTCCAGCACTCTCGGATTGTTCATCATTTCCGACATAGTCCACTCCACCACGGTAGTTGCTGTCTCGATCCCAGCAAGAAACATTTCCTAATAAAATTTCCCCATACCGTAAGTTTTGGTATTAACGAACTTCTACTCACAAATTTATCCTGCTTTCGATAATACTCACCAGAGTTACTGCTTTTAAGACCTCCGTCGTGATGGGAACTCCAAGATCATCCTGGTTTTCTTGAAGATTCAGAAGCACGTCGACGAGATCCTCTTTTTCATCACCACTGCTCTTAATTCCCTCCATTCTCCTCGATCTATGCTCATCGATGATCCGATCCAGCACCGAATCCGCCGCTTCACGCATCTTCTCCAGTTTTGCTCTGTATCCAGTGAGAACAGGGAGCAATTTGAAGGAAGGATACAGATCAGAGATTTTGAAACCCGACATAACATCCGAGACATTATCCACAACGGTCCGAAACGCATCGTTCAGCTCCTGCACTTTGCCGAACGCTGCCCTGGAAGTGACGGTGCTCGTCAGCGTGTGCAGCAACGGCCCCAAATCCACCGGCTCCCCTGCCTCCGCCGAACGAGACAGAGCAGCGACGAGATTGGACACCTCTTCTTCCCTGATTTGGCGGAAGGATTGAACTCGTTTGGCGCTGAAGAGCTCGAGGGTGCAGATCTTGCGCATCTGGCGCCAGTACTCGCCGTAGGGGGCGAAAGCTATGTCCTTGCAGCCGTAGTAGACGATGTCCGGGGCGAGGAGGTAAGGCCGGGAGGCGAAAGCAAGGTCGTGGGTTTTCATCACTAGTTTGGCGGATTCAGGGGTTGAGATTACGATGTAAGGGAGCTCCCCGAGCTGGAGGTGCATCACGTCGGGGCCGTATTTGTGGGCGAGATCCCTGAGCCGGCGGTGGGGCTGGTGGCCGGCGAGCTGGTGGAGGTTTCCGATTACGGGGAGCTTCCATGGGCCCGGCGGCGAGTTTGGAGCGGCGGGTTTGGAGGACCTCTGTTTTCGGGTGATGAAGAAGGTGAGTACAAGGATGGTTGCTAGAGTGAAGAGGCAGGGGATTTTGAATGCTCCGAAGGAGGAGCAAGGGAGATATTCCATGGCAATTAATGAAACTCATGGTGTGGAATGTGGATCATGTGGGTTGATTATATTGATGGTGAAGGCATGTGATGTGGTTTTTCGAAATTAGATGCAATAACATCGTCTTGTTGAATGTCGTCCTTAAATTAAATTATCTTATTATTCATTGTAAGTTTTTTCATTCAAACCAGAACCGAATCAAAGTTATATTCTCTCATTCTCTTCTTCGAAACGGGAAAATTCCATGCCTTTTCTTCAACGCCATCGAATTGTATGACATGTTTTTCGGTAAAACAAGTTAACGCAAAAAAAAAAAAAAAGATCATGCAAGAAGACAGTTAATAAAGGAGCCATCGGATTGTATGGCATGTAGATGTAGCAAATTCGACGGGAAAATAAATTTGTACACTCATTAGTACAAATGTAGATAATCATTTCCTTAAAAAAGTTAAACATAGTTATGATTTTGTTAGGTCTCCCAAACTTAAGGGACTATTTGTATAATTTATTCTTCTTATGTAACATCGTCTGCGAATTGAGGAGCTGTCCTCGTCACTTGCGGCGTTTGACCTTCCGGTGGCTCCTTTTTCCCCGGCAAGCGCGGCGGCGAGCAGAACTTACGCCGATGTCGTTCAAGGAGGAGGTTTCTATGGGGCGGGGAACTGCTCGATTGTTAAGGATTCAGTCGACTGTTATATCAAGGTTGGCTCTGTAGGAGTATCTGAAAGGGTTAGTTCTTTGGATCGATGCCTGGTTCTGAGGTTCTGCTCGTCATCCAATGTGTTCTTCACGCAAGCGCTGGTGGGTGAATTTAGAAGATGGGCGGAGAGGTACTGGATGATAGACTCGAACTTTGGCCTGGAGGAATTGGAGGACGGCAGGTGGCTCCTTCATTGTCCGAGTCTACGGGATCTTCTTCGGATTAAAAAGCTGGATCATCTTAAATTCAAGAGCTTTTCGGTTCAGGCCAGTATGTGGAAGGAGGCTGCCAACGTGATTTCGGCCTCCGATTCCCGCTGGATCATGGTTTTTGGAATTCCGATTCACCTCAAGAGCGTCAATCTGATTAGAACCATCGGGGATTTTTGCGGCGGTTTGTTGGAGGTCGATTGGAACTCTTGGAGCTCCTCGTTCGTCAGGTTAAGGGTAAAAGATGATGGGTCTATTCCGGAGGAAGTTCCGCTGGTTTTTGGAGAACAATGCTTTTATATTCATGTTCGATCTTCGCCGGAGTTCCCGCCGGCTGGTGCGAAGGCGGTGAGTTTGGTCAAGAAAGGCCGGGGGATGAACGAAGTGGAATTTCGCAGGCCTGCGGCTTCGGAGGGCAGCGCTCTGATCTCAAGGAAGAATTCGAGGGGTCGCGTTTTGAATCAGAGTAAATCGGCCGCCGTCAGCATGCATGGGACTGTTCACCGAGATTCCACCAGCAATAGGGTTGGTCTCCAGCCTGGGCCGAGCAGACGTGTTTGGGTTAGAAAGTTCGGGCCGACTCGTAGGCCCAGCCACTTTAGTCAGGCTGTGTTCAGTCGTGGGCCTGAGATTGGGCCTTCTGGGTCTGTTTGTTCGATTGATAAGCGGGACAGAAATGTTGTGGCCTCTGGGCTTTGGTGCCAGGCCTCGGGGCACAAGGAGTTGGGCTCTCTGGCCTTGCTAGCCTCCTCCTTCCTCAATGATCTTCTTCAGAAGCCAGACATGAGCCCCTTCTCCTTTTCGCTCTCTGCTCATTTCTCAGTTTTATCAGGTATGGGAACGGCTTGGGACTCTTCCTTGCGTGTTAGTCCGCGGCGCCTGGATGTGATGATTTCCGTCAGCGCCTCGAATCCTTGGGTTCTCGATATTTTGGTCAAGCAGAAGGCTCCTAGCCAGCGCTTTGTTGAGGATTCCGTCTCTTATGAGCAGGTCGGGGAGTTTTGTCCGTCGGCGGCCCTGGGTTCTCCTCCCTCCTCGCCTCCGGCTACTCCCACTCACTCTGTTTCCCTGGGAGGCGAGGAGGGCAGCCACTCTGATGTCTGTTTGCCATCTCCTTCTTGTGTGGCTGACAGTCAGGAAAAGGAATGGAGTCAAGACTCCTTTCCTTTCGATGTGGGCACTTTGATATCTACGAGTGTTGATTTGGGGAAGGTATTCGGCTTAAGCACTGTGGGGGGTCAAAGTGAAGTTGATAGAGTGATTGCAAATCAGGCTTCTGAGCTTCATCAGAGGAAAGTACGGCCCTGCAGAACGAAGCTTGATATGGAAAGGATCCGTCTTGGGCCGATAGTGGATCCGCCATCCGAGCCTAGGCGGAGGAAGAAGAGGGTTGTCTGACTTCGTGTTTGTGTTTATGGCCAGCTCGGTATTGGTGTGGAATGTCAGGGGACTTGGCGAAGGGGGTAAGAGGGCTAGAGTTAAGAGAATTGTGAACAGTAGTCGGGCTAAAATCGTGGGTTTGATCGAGACCAAGTGGGCGAGCTGTGATGATTTCAAGGTTAAGAGCGTTGGTGGTACGGCTGATTCTGGGTGGGTTTCCAAGAATGCGGTTGGCAGCTGTGGGGGAATTGTTATTTTCTGGGACAAGCAATTCTTCAATGTGACTAATAGCAGAGAGGGGAGTCATTATCTTGAGGTCTTTATCCAGGAGATTGTTTCCCTGAAATCTTGGCGTTTGGTGGTGGTTTACGGGCCTCAGGAGAGGGAGGATAAGCTGGTTTTTCTTGATGAGCTGCTTTCCATTGGTCAAGCTAGTCATGATCCGATTTGCTTCGCAGGGGATTTCAATTTAGTTCGTAGTCATGATGAGTACAGGGGGAGCCGTCGGGGTCAAAACCTTATGACGGAATTTAATTCGGTTATCGATGACTGTGGGCTTATGGAGCTTCCGCTCGGGGGGAGTCTATTCACTTGGAGCAGAGGAGGGGATAGTAATTGCCTATCTCGGATCGATAGAGCCTTTGTCTCGTCCAGTTTCGATTCTATGTTCTCAGATTGCTCCCTTACTGCGCTTGAGCGTATTGTCTCTGATCATAATCCCTTGCTCATCTCCTGGGGCGACAGCCGCAGGGTGCATAGGCCGTGGAAGTTCGAGAATATGTGGTTGGAAGACGCTAGATTCTTTGATGGGTTAAGTAGTTGGTATGCTTCGCAGATACAAGGCAGGGGTTCAGCGTTTCGGTGGGCGCGGAGATTGCAGGATCTTAAGAACAAAATCAAGGTGTGGAACAGGGAGGTGTTTGGGGACCAGAATAAGAAGCTTGCGGACCTCATGGCCAAGGCTCAGGACCTCAACCACCAAGAAGAGTCGAGGCCTTTGTCGATCGAGGAGGTGCGAGTGAGGGAGCAGTGCTTAATTGATATTGGGGTCACTCTTGATCTGCTTGAAGTTTCTTGGAGGCAGAAATCGAGGGAGCTGTGGCTTCACAAAGGAGACAGGAACTCTGGGTATTTTCACAGGTTTGCTAATTACAGAAGGAAAGTTAATCACATTGGGCGTATCAAGGTGAATGGGATTTCGTTAGAAGGTAGAGAGGAGATCTCTGAAGGGGTTGTGAACTTCTACGTGGGGCTTTTCAGGGATAGCATCAGATCTCGGCCCTTCCCTCTCTCCTACATCTGCAGTAAGGTCTCGGAGTCGGATTCCGGGTTCCTTAGCATGCCTTTCTCGGAGGGAGAGATTTGGGCTAGCATTGTTGATTGCGATGGTGGGAAAGCCCCTGGGCCGGACGGATTCACTTGGGAATTCTACAAGAAGTGCTGGAATTGGATCAGGAATGATGTTATGAATGCTTTTGAAGAGTTTTTCGACACTGGTTTCCTGCCGGATTGCGTCACTCACTCCTTTATTTGTCTTGTTCCTAAGAAAGATGCGGTTGAAGACATCAAGGATTTGAGGCCTATCAGTCTCATGGGCAGTTTCAATAAGTTGGTCAGCAAAGTTCTGTCTCGCAGATTGGGACGGGTTCTTCCGTATCTTGTATCCCCTAACCAGCATGCTTCAGTGAAGGGTAGGCAGATTGGAGACGCAGGCCTTATCGCTTTTGAACTGGTTGATAGCAGGAAAAGGAGCAGGAAGCCGGGTTTGATGTTCAAGTTAGACATTGAGAAAGCATTTGACAATGTTAATTGGGGTTGTTTGTTTCATATCCTCTCTCGTATGGGCTTCTCTGAGAAGTGGCAGAAGTGGATCGATGGGACCATGTGCCGCCCGAAGATTTCGGTTCTCATCAATGGGGAGTCTAAAGGTTTCTTCAGTTCGCAGAAAGGTTTGAGACAGGGTGATCCCTTATCTCCAGGTCTTTTTACTCTTATTATGGATGTTTTGTCCTTTATGATCTCTGGGATTAGGAGCTGTGGGAAGATTTCTGGTTTTTTCATTGACGAGGAGCACGGTGGGGGTGAGGTCACCCACTTGTTGTTTGCTGATGACACTCTTATCTTCTGCGATGCGGAGTACAGTCAGGTTCTTAATATACTTGCCACCTTGGTTTGTTTTCAGACGGTCACAGGTCTCAGGATTAATTTAGAGAAATCGGTGATGTTCACTGTTGGGGACGTCCCAAATCCTGAGTTTTATGCCTCCATCTTTGGGTGCAAGTGGAGTGGGGAGCCTTCTAAGTATCTGGGTTTCCCTCTTGGTGCGAACCCTAATGCTATCTCGGTGTGGGATACTGTTGTTGATAAATATCAGAAGAGGCTCGATGGTTGGAAAGGTAAATATCTTTCACTTGGAGGCAGATTAACTTTGCTAAAGGCTGTTCTCTCGAGTCAACCGGTATATTTCTTCTCTCTTCTTCGTGCCCCCTCTTCAGTGGTGAAAAGATTGGAGGGTGTTCAGAAAAGGTTTCTGTGGAGCGGTTCGAGCGATACCAGGAAACTTGCTTTGGTTAGATGGGATACCTGCAAAGCTCCGTTCTCGCGAGGTGGCCTGGGGATCATCGACCTTGAGTCCTTTAATAGGGCAATGTTGGGGAAGTGGTTGTGGCGGTACGCTACTGAGAGCGATAGTTGGTGGAGGAAGTTGATCAGTATTAAGTTCCCGCATCAGCACTCTGGTTGGCGCACTGTGAGATGCCGTCAGGGCTTCTCTGGCTCAGTTTGGGCTAATATCTCTAAAGAGTACGATGATTTTTGGAAGATGGCTAGCATTGATGCTGGGAATGGAGCCTGGGTCTCTTTCTGGTATGATAGCTGGATTCCTGAAGTGGTTCTTGCTGAGGAATTCCCGAGAGTTGCTGCTGCCTCTAGCTCTCCGAACGCCAGGGTCTCGCACGCCGCGTCCCTCTCAGGTAACTCTGTCATTTGGTCTGTTCCTTTGTCTTTCGATCTTAGGGGGGGAGCGGATAGGGAGAGAGTGGAGCTTTTTAATTTACTTAGTTCGAGAGGTGCCAGTTGTGTGTCGAGTGGGCCCCCCAGGCCTTCTTGGCTGCCCGATGTGGATGGATCCTTTTCTGTTCGTTCTATGTACAGGTACTTGGTGGATGGCAAGTTCAGTGGTACTTCGGATTTCCCGGATGAGTCTGTTTGGCGGCAGGTTGTGCCATCCAAAATCTGCTGTTTTATTTGGCTTGTGGTGCACAAGAGAATTCTCACCGTTGACAACTTGAAGGCCAGGGGTTGGCAGCTTGCCAACAGGTGCGAGCTCTGCGGCAGAGAGGAGGAGACCATCGATCACATCTTCTCCTACTGCGAGTTTGCTAGGGACGTGTGGAGTGCTTCCAGAAGGGTCTGTGGTCTCTCTACAGGCCCAAGTAGCGACATTGTTCCCATGATCCGTGATTGGCCTACTTGCCCGGCTTCCAGTGTTAACAGTTGGGTCTGCTTCGGCCTTCTTCACTCTTTGTGCTGGCAGATCTGGTTGGAGAGAAATAGAAGAGTTTTCAGAGATGCTCGCTTGCACGCTAGGATTGTCACTCGGAAGGTTCTGAGGGATGCTTTGGATTGGGCAATCGCGTTTGGAAAGGTGGACAAATCTCAAGGTTTGCGGTGGGCTGAGGAGCATCTGCAGAGCCTCGGTCGGCGGTTTTCCCCCCCCTCCTGATGGGCGCTCGTTGTTCTCTTGTTTGGTTTCGTCGCCTCTCTTGGGGTTTGCCCTGGGTTCCGTTGGAGGACTGTTGGTTTGTGGCCTCTGTCTTTCTGTTTCTCTGTGTTTCTGCTTTGGTTCGTTTTCTAGCAGGGTTGGCTCGGTCCAATTAGCTAGTTTCCTTGGGGGTCTTTGTCCCTTGCCCCTTGTGTTTTGTTCTTGTGGCTGTTGTTTTATTCTTTTTCTGCTGGGTCCTGTGGTTCACCCTTTTGTGAACCTGTGCCTAGTTTTTTCTGTACTGCTTCCTTTTCTTTCTAGTTTAATTCAATCACCATTATAAAAAAAAAAACAAAAATCGAAGGAATCTAATATTTTCTGTCTCGCTCTCTGCAATAGAATAATTTAGTTTAGAGTTTTATATGGGATTTAATTATTTTAATGGTCAGGGTCAAGGAGTAGTTGAGGAGGACAATTATTTGGAGATCATTGTCATTTTTCAATAAGTTAAAAAATTATTTTGGCCTTATTATTAACACATTTTAATTATCATCGACTCGTCTTTTCATACTTTGTATTTGGATTTTAGGCTTAGCTGTTAGGCTTCATTTACGAGATGTTAGCATTACGAGTAGTAGGGTTTTGAATATAGATGCAAGATTTGATAGTTCATAGTACTATAACAATTGTTTGTTTAGGAAATAAACCTTACAAAATGCAGAACATATGACAGGATTAAGGAAATTACACATGATGGAACAATATAAAGCACAAAAATATAATGAGCATCTTTATTAGCATTTGATTTTCGTTTATTCAAAGCACGGGACCATAAGGAAATGGAATCAGACGGAGAGGATATTGTCTTCTGAGTGTCATTCCAAAGCATTCTGTCATATCAATGCTTTTTTGTTCAGCAGGGAGTGTCCAGTCAAAATGGAAAAGCAAACTTGCTAACGTAAGTTTCACGACCGCCATCCCGAAAGAAACTCCAGCACACATCCTCCTTCCGGCACCAAATGGGATAAAATGGAAATTGGTCCCGTTGTAATCGATTGGGCAGTCGATAAATCTTTCCGGGTAGAATCTCTCCGCCTCCGTCCAATAGCGAGAATCTCGATTGATCGCCCAGGCATTCACGATCACATATGTGTTCATTGGGATATCATATGATGAGTTGAGTTCCACTTTCTGATCTTTGTTTTCTCTTGGAGCAAGCAAAGGAACTGGTGGGTGTAATCTTAAACTCTCGGAGATGACCATGTCCAAATACTTCAATTGGTGAAGACGTGCTTCGTTAAAATTGTTGTTCTCACCATCACCAAATACTTCTCTGACCTCTCGCTGTGCTTTTTCTAGCACTCCCGAATTCTTTATCATTTCTGACATGGTCCACTCCAGTGTTGTGGCTGCTGTATCGACTCCAGCAATAAATATTTCCTAATAAAGTTCGTATTGTGAGTATGTTAAATAAAATAAAAAATTGAGCATCTCATATACCGGCATCAGCTAAATTGTAACCAACAGCTAATTAAATTGAGATCACTCACCAGAGTTACTGCTTTAATGACCTCCGGTGTGATGACTTCAACATCCTGGTTTTCTTGAATATTAAGAAGAACGTCAACAAGATCCTCCTTCTCATTATAATCATCGTTACTTTTCATTCCCGCCCTTCTCCTCAATTGATGCTCGTCGATAATCTGGTCCAATACCGAATCTGCTGCTTCACGCATCTTCTCTAGTTTGGCTCTGAATCCAGTGAGAGTTGGAAGCAACGTAAGAGAAGGATAGAGATCAGAGATTTTGAAACCTCCAGTAGCATCCGAATAATTATCCAGAACGGTCTGGAAAGCACCGCTCAGCTGCTGCACCTTACCGAATACCGCCCTGGAAGTGACGGTACTCGTCACGGTGAACAAAGCACGGGTGAGATCCACGGGTCCGGACTTTCCTGCCTCCGCGTGGCAGGAAAGAGCGAGGGAAGCCACGAGATTCGACACCTCTTGTTCCCTTATGTGTCGGAAGGACTCGACGCGCTTGGCGCTGAAGAGCTCGAGGGTGCAGATCTTGCGCAGCTGCCTCCAGTACTCTCCGTAGGGCGCGAAACCTATGTCCTTGCGACCGTAGAAGAGTACATCTGTGGCCAGGATGTAAGGCCGTGAAGCGAAAGCTATGTCGTGGGTTTTCATCACTAGCTTGGCGGCTTCAGGGGTTGAGATCACGATGCAAGAGAGCTCGCCGAGCTGGAGGCGCATCACGTCGGGGCCGTATTTGCGGGCCAGGTCCCTGAGCCGGCGGTGGGGTTGGTCGCCGACCATCTGGTGGATGTTGCCTATTATGGGGAGCTTCCATGGCCCCGGCGGCGAGTTTCTGGATAGGTTTATTCTGTGGTTTCGGATGAATAATAAGGTGGCTGCAAGAATGATTGCAAGCAGCGTGGAGATGAAGGGGATGCTGAAGAAGGAAGTGGAGGAGATTATCATCTTTTGGATGAGGATCTGAACTCTGAAGAGTGAAGAGACCACTACTATACTATATTGTTATTTGTTTATATTTTCTGTTTCAGATATTTTGAGTACATCTTCAATGATTCTAATTTGAGTTTACAAAATGATAGGTGCTACAAAGTGGTAACAGTATCGTAACGAGTGGTAACTTGTGATACAAAATTGTTTTTTCGAAATAGATTGGAAATGAACATAATTTTTTAGATGACAGTGAACTCAAGTTAAAACAACGAATATGCAAATCGATTAAAAAATAAGAAAAATAAGAGGCTTTTTAATCTCACATCTTAAATCTAGCCCCACCTAAAATCAATAGCATTTTTTTTTTGATGACTTAGTATTGGATGTTGAAAGAATATGCTCAAATTAAAAAAAGGTCATTAAATTTTTTATTTTAATTAATTATTACTATCTTCTTCATGCTTTACCTTTCATTCGATTTCAATTCACACCTCGAGAAGCGAATAGGACTGTCCATTTGGTGGCACGGAATGTCCTTCGTTATCCTGGCTTATCCCAAGGTCTTTTCAACTTGTTGTTTGTTCTGCGTCTTTGAGTCGGTGGAGGTATTGTGCGTTTGTGATATCCCACCTTTGACTATTTTATCCGCAAGAATAATGATGACAAAAAAAAAAAAAATCTACACTGGAGAAAAAATTAAATTTGGACATTATTTCCACTGTATCCATTATAGTAAATATCTTTTAGTGGGACTAGAATGTCAAGTTTAACCCAAAACTTAGACATTTTGACACTAACCATCAAGGAAGGTATGAATAATCAGTAGTAATAAACATATGCTAACGTGGTTTAATTAATATTAAACTTGGCTGCATGTGATGATGGCTGATCTTGACAATAGGGCTGACTATTTGGTCCGGACTGTTTGGTTTTACCCGAAACCGGATCGTATAACCCGGATCGGGACCGGACTGGGACCGGATTACAAACAATCCAATCTCATATTCGGGCTTAGATTTGAGGTAAAAACCCGGATAAAGATCGGATAAGAGATCCCCAACACCTAAAATCAAGATCAAATTGGGACCAGACCGGATCAAGACCAGACTGTAACCAATCCAATCTTTGGTCCTTATATTCTCGAAAAGACCGAACTGGGACTGGATCAATTTGGTCTAATTTAACCGGACCGGACCGTATAGCTACCCTACTTGACAACTAATTAAATCAAAACTATATATATCGGGTAACGCGACATGCTAATTAATGTGCATAATACTTTATATTTTCTTTGGGAAAATACAGGATAAGTCATAAGTGATTAATTAAAGCGCAGCAATAGCATACACACTGATAAATTGTGTATAAGATATAATAAACCCTTATCCTATATATTTTTCAAAGAAAATACGTCAGTGCTAACCAGCGTACAGATCCATTTTCTTCGGTCCCAAATTAATCAAGCACATGCAACGTACCATTTAATTTTTACCACTGAATAATCAAAGCTCTGAAACAGAAAAAAATATATAGCAGTAGTGGCCTGCTGGTGGGTGTTTTCAGATCCTCAGACCGGCCAATAAGCTTCATTATTACCATGGAATCCCTCAACCAAAACCTCATGCTCTCTTCCTCTTCCTTCTTCTCCATCCCCTTCCTCCTCACCACGCTAATTGCAATCATTCTTGCAGCCACCTTATTCATCGTCCGAAACCATAGAAAGCTAACCACAACCGCCGGTTCAAACTCGCCGCCGGGCCCATGGAAGCTCCCCATCATAGGCAACATCCACCAGATGGTCGGCGACCAACCCCACCGCCGGCTCAGGGACCTCGCCCGCAAACACGGCCCCGACGTCATGCGCCTCCAGCTCGGCGAGCTCTCTTGCATCGTAATCTCGACCCCTGAAGCCGCCAAACTAGTCATGAAAACCCACGACAAGGCCTTCGCGTCACGGCCCCGTCTCCTGGCTGCAGATTTAGTCTTCTACGGCAGCAAGAGCCTAACCCTGGCGCCCTACGGAGAGTTCTGGAAGCAGATGCGCAAGATCTGCACCCTGGAGCTTCTCAGCGCCCAACGAGTCCGATCCTTCCGCTCCATAAGGGAAGCGGAGGTCTCCGATCTCGTGGCCTCCATTGCTCGCGCAGCAGCTGCAGGGAAAGCCGTGGATCTCAGCACGATGCTGCCTGCTTTGACGACCGCCATAACTTCCAGGGCTGCATTCGGCAAATCGCAGCAGCTGACCACCGATCGTGCTTTCCAGGTGGTTTTCGACAACATTTCGGAGGTTTTGGGAGGTTTCGCAATCTCTGATCTCTATCTAATAAATCTAGCGCGGAAACTAAAAAACACACGACACCAATTTTACGTGGTATCCCCGATTTGACGATCGGGACTAATCCACGGGAGAGTTGAGCCTCTCCAGCTTTACTCTTATTATATTGACTTACAGCTTAATGCCTTACAACACGGTTTATATAGCCCTTTACATGAAGGTAGGGCTATACGAGATAGAGAAGGAGACCTTGTACAATAAGTAAAAGTAAACCCTCTCCAACGTGAAGAAGGACGTGACATGGCCATGCAGGCCACTGGACCCGTAGACACTGGATCCGACGATACTGGACGGGCTGATGACTCTCGGCCCAATACGCCCCCGCAAGCTGAACTGTGGAGGTCACGAACATGCAGCTTGGAGAGCAGAAAACGAAAACGATCTGCCCCAAGGCCTTTAGTGAACAAATCAGCAACTTGTTGTTGAGAACTAACCTTGCGAGGAAGAATATCACGAGAAACGACCCGTTCACGCACGAAATAACAGTCCATCTCGACATGCTTAGTGCGCTCGTGGAAAACCGGGTTGGCAGAGATGTGGAGAGCTGCTTGATTGTCACAGTACAAAGGTGTAGGAGTACGTTGCGGTACACCTAACTCAGAAAGTAACCACCGTAACCAAAGTAACTCACTAACAGTACTTGCCATGGCGCGATATTCAGCTTCTGCAGACGAGCGCGCGACAACCTTTTGCTGTTTAGTGCGCCAGGAAATAGGTGCGTGCCCCAAAGAAATGTAGAAACCACTAGTAGAACGACGAGTGGATTGACACCCACCCCAATCAGCATCACAATACGCAATCAAAGAAAGGGAATTGTCAGCTGGGAAATACAGACCTTGTCCAGGTGACGTTTTCAAATAACGAAGCACACGCATAGCTGCATCCATGTGAGCTTGCGTTGGAGCATGAACAAAGCGACTAAGTATATTGACCCCATAAGAGATATCGGGTCTCGAGACAGTGAGGTAAAGTAACCTCCCTACTAGACGTCGATATGAAGACCCATCGACAAGTGGACTCGAGCCAGGCTTCGTGAGTTGATGGTTCTGTTCAACTGGGAAGGCACTGGGACGCGCGCCGAGAACCCCTGCCTCTTCTAGGATATCCAACACATATTTTCGCTGACTAAGAACGATTCCTCGAGGAGAGCGGGCGACCTCTAGACCAAGCAAGTACTTCAGTGTTCCCAAATCCTTAATACTGAAACGATGATTAAGAAATTGCTTGACACTAGAGATAAAATCCAAGTCATTGCCAGCCAACAGGACATCGTCAACGTAAATAAGTGCCACGACAAACGTAGTACCCTTCTTGAATATAAACAAGGAATGATCGGCATGGGAGGCGCGAAAACCAAACTCACAAAGCGCTGCAGTAAACTTCTGGTACCAGTTGCGAGAAGCTTGCTTTAGGCCATAGATGGACTTGTGTAGACGACAAACACGCTTATCGCCTGGAGCAGCATATCCTGGAGGTAATCTCATGTAGACCTCCTCTTGGAGATCGCCATGGAGAAATGCATTATTCACATCAAGCTGGTGAATAAACCATCCACGGCTGGCCGCTACGGCAATGAGACAACGAACTGTGACAAGCTTTGCAACTGGAGCGAACGTATCATGATAGTCCACACCTTCAATTTGGGTGTATCCTTTTGCGACCAAACGAGCTTTGTAACGCTCAACACTGCCATCGGGGTAGTACTTGATTTTGAACACCCATTTGGCATCAATAATATGAACACCAGGAGGTGGAATAACAAGGCTCCAAGTCCCGTTGACTTTGAGAGCATGGATTTCCTTATTCATAGCATCCCGCCACCAAGCATAACGAACCGCCTGTGAAAAACTCTTGGGCTCAAACTCGCGTGTGATCACTGCCAAAAACGCTCGATGTTGAGGACTGAGGCGGTCATATGAGACATAGTTGGATAATGGATACTGAACATGAGAAGCACTGTTCAGATCGGTGACATAGACATCAAGATAGGAAGGAGGCCGCTTGACTCGCTGACCCCGACCTAGCTGTGGAGACGGGACGACGGGACTGACATGTTCCTCGTCCAAAGACCCCATGGGAATAGGAGTGACAGGTGACAATGAGGATGGTGACTCATTTACAGGGGACTCGCTAATGGGAGGAGGCGAGTCAATGACCACTCGAGTGGGAGACCCTGCTGGACTTGGGGACGACCCTGGAGGGGCTTCCGAAGGAATGGTGGTGACGAGCTGATCTTCATCAAGGGGACTAGAGTGAGGTCCTTCCCCATCATTTGTCTCGAAGGGGGATGGAACCCAATGAAAATCCCTTGGATCTTGAGCATGGAACGGAAAATACGTCTCGTGAAAAATCACGTCACGAGACACATGAACTTTACGAGTTACAAGGTCATAGACCTTATAACCCTTTTGCGTAGATGGGTAACCAAGAAAGACACCAGCACGCCCCCTGTCGGCAAACTTGTGTAGTCCCCCATGATTGTCTAAAAATAATGTGCACCACTAAGAGACGGAGTCTGATATCCACCCCAAATGTCGATATGAATTAACTCAAAACAATCCGAAGTCTTAATCGTACTAAGCTGAAAAGGAAGCCGACTTTGTTTTGCACGGGAACATGAATGACACGGTCCATGTCCCTTAACACCCGAAACTGAAATAGACGAAGACAAATGCGAAAACTTCAACGAAGAAGGATGTCCCAAACGATGGTGCCATACTTCCTCAGACGCTGACGACGAACGGCTGGCAGCAAAGACAAACGACTCCTTGCTATCCAACAACTTCAAGTAGTAGAGCCCGTTACGGAGAATCCCCTTCCCAATCACGGTCCTGGAGTGTAAGTCCTGGAGGACGCATAAATCACGCAAGAAAATAAGTGCGACATTGTTATCTTGGGTTAACTTGCTGACTGACAAGAGATTGCACTTAAAATCTGGCACATGTAATACGCGATCCAGTTTCAATCCAGAATTAAGCTCAACAGTACCAATTCGTTCCACAGGAACACTCTCACCATTCGGTATCTTGACTGGCTGATGATCCTGCTTGGCTAATTCAAAACTCAACAAATTTGCATCCATTGTGATATGCTCATTACAACCCGAATCAATTAACCATTCAGAATCATCATTAATCGTACCTGACATGTGAGCAGACGGTTCCTCAATAGACTTGGGCTGTGAGAGAAACCTTTTTAACTGTTCCAGTTGTTCAATGCTGAAACCTGGGACAGGACTAGTGACGCTGGGGGGCGTTGCTGCTTGTGCTGCACGAGTTGAAGAATCAGCTGACTTCTTCTTCTTCCTGTCACCTCTTTCATTCTTCTCGGCAGAGTCGCTGCCACGAGTCGGCCACCCAACAATATCATAACAAGTGTGTTTGAAATGTCCAGGTTTTCCGCAGTGAGTACACTTGGGACGACCATCGGCAGTGCGCGGATGATCATCGTCGGACTTGGCAGCAAACGCAGCCCCTTCAGATGTAGGACGACGTTTTTGGGTAAGGAGGCGTTGCTGCTCATCAGTAGAAACCATGTTGAAGGCCTCGGCTAGTGTAGGCGATGGTTTCATGGACAGGATCTGACTGCGGACTGTGCTGAAATTTTCATCGAGCCCCATGAGAAAATCAAACAGCCTTGATCGCTCTTCCTTTGCACGAGTACGAGCTTCCAAGCCACAACTACATTGACCACATGTGCAAACCTCCGGCGGAGAAATTGATTGAGATTCCTCCCACAGATTCCGGAGTTGAGTGTAGAATGATGACACTGTGAGCTTTTCTTGCCAAAGCCCACTGACGAGACGACGGAGCTCATAACCACGGGTTAGACTACCCTGACCGAACCTCTCCTTCAAATCAACCCAGACTTCACGAGCTGTTTTGGCGAAGCGAACACTACTACGAACCTCCTTGTTCATGGAGATTCTCAGCCATCCTTTGACAACGGCATCGCAGCGATGCCAAGCAGCCAATTCCGGTTCTTTGGACGGCTTCTCAATGGTGCCATCAACAAAACCGAATTTGTTCTTAACTATAAGGGCGTCGGTGACGTCAACGACCCATTCACCATAATTAGATGGTGTAAGAGCCTCGCCAATCTGAAGCTGACCATTGATATCAGATTGATGAAGAAAAAACGGAGAACTTGGTTCTGGGAAGACCTGACTCGGACCTGTACCAGAAGACGACGACGTGAAAGCTGACTTGCCTCCACCTTCTGCGGAAGCCTTAGTCTCGTCGTCACTCATGTTGACAATGGGACGAACGAAGCTTGAAGGGATCTAGTGCTCTGATACCATAATAAATCTAGCGCGGAAACTAAAAAACACACGACACCAATTTTACGTGGTATCCCCGATTTGACGATCGGGACTAATCCACGGGAGAGTTGAGCCTCTCCAGCTTTACTCTTATTATATTGACTTACAGCTTAATGCCTTACAGCACGGTTTATATAGCCCTTTACATGAAGGTAGGGCTATACGAGATAGAGAAGGAGACCTTGTACAATAAGTAAAAGTAAACCCTCTCCAACGTGAAGAAGGACGTGACATGGCCATGCAGGCCACTGGACCCGTAGACACTGGATCCGACGATACTGGACGGGCTGATGACTCTCGGCCCAATACTATCCTTCACTCAAATGGCTGCCTGCCCTCACTGGGTTGAAAGCAAGGCTGGAGAAGCTGCGGAAGGCGTCGGACTCGGTACTAGACCGGATCATCGACGACAATAGATCCAGGAAATCGTCAGCGACGACGGCCGCCGAAAGCAAAGGTGATGACGAAGAGAATGTTCTTGATATTCTTCTCAACCTTCAGGAAAGCCAGGATGCTGGAGTTCCCATCACCATGGATGTCATTAAAGCAGTGACTTTGGTGAGTATTGTTCGATCTCTTGATTTGGATTAGGGTATGTTATGGGACAATCCAAGTACCACATCGGTAATACAAGGGAAGGAACCCTTGTATATTAGAGTCCACCTAGCCCAATTAGTACGAGGCCTTTTGGGGAGGACACCCAAAAGTAAAACCGTGCGGGCTTGGCCCAAAGCGGACAATATCGTACTAATTGAGCACCCCGATTTGACAAGTGGTATCAGAGCCTGGTTCGGCGGATCCGGGGCGGTGGACGTCAGTTTGGTGGGACCCTCGTTTGGTGGCCTCAGGATTTGCGATCTGCGTCTGGTTTGGTGGATCCAGGAGAGATCCACGTTTGGGCTATGCGGATCAAGGGAGGTCCGCGTCTGGAAAGCAGATCAAAGAGAGTTCTGCATATGGAAAAATCCTTGTAACGAGAAGCCCATCGATACAAGGTGTCTGGCGGATCAAGATAATCGCTGAGGTGAGGACACGAAGTTCGTGGTCCTTGTCTTGAGGGGAGGATTGTTATGGGACAATCCAAGTACCACATCGGTAATACAAGGGAAGGAACCCTTGTATATTAGAGTCCACCTAGCCCAATTAGTACGAGGCCTTTTGGGGAGGACACCCAAGAGTAAATCCGTGCGGGCTTGGCCCAAAGCGGACAATATCGTACTAATTGAGCAGCCCGGTTATGACAAGTGTTAGGGTACAATCCAAGTACCACATCGGAAATACAAGGGAAGGAACCCTTGTATATTAGTGTCCACCAAGCTCATTAGTACGAGGCCTTTTGGGGAGGACACCCAAGAGTAAAACCGTGCGGGCTTGGCCCAAAGCGGACAATATCGTACTAATTGAGCACCCCGATTTGACAAGTGGTATCAGAGCCTGGTTCGGTGCGGGGCGGTGGACGTCAGTTTGGTGGACCCTCATTCGGTGACCTCGAGATTTGAGATCTGCATCTGTTTGGTGGATCCAGAGAGATCCACGTTTGGGCTTGGCGGACCGCATTTGGGAAGCAGATCAAAGAGAGTTCTGCGTCTGGTAAAGTCCTTGTACCGAGAAGCCCATCGATACAAGGCGTCTGGGGAATCAAGATAATCGTTGAGGAGAGGACAAGAAGTTCGTGGTCCTTGGCTTGAGGGGAGGATTGTTATGGGACAATCCAAGTACCACATCGGTAATACAAGGGAAGGAACCCTTGTATATTAGAGTCCACCTAGCCCAATTAGTACGAGGCCTTTTGGGGAGGACACCCAAAAGTAAAACCGTGCGGGCTTGGCCCAAAGCGGACAATATCGTACTAATTGAGCACCCCGATTTGACAAGTGGTATCAGAGCAAAGAAGGGTGTATTTGTGGGTTACGGAGATGGAGTTAAGGGATTTCGAGTCTGGTCACCTTCTGAGCATCGAGTTATACTTAGTAGAAATGTGATATTTGATGAGAAGTCTATGTTTAACCCCATGTTGAAGGTCACTGTTGTTGAAGGTAGCAGGAATGTTGATAAGCAGGTGGAGCTGCAAACTCTCAATGAGAGTGAGTTTGAGCACCAAGGTGGAGAAGATCAACATGATGAGGATGTCTCTGCAGAGCCAGAAACTTCAGAGTCCAGTGCACGAGCTCAACAGTCTATTACTTCCGGTAGACCAAAGAGAGCGACTGCAGGAGTACCTCCACAGAGGTATGGCTTCGAGGACATGGTGGCGTATTCATTTCAGGTTGCTGAGAAAGTGGATGCAGGAGAGCCACAGTCCTATAGAGAAGCAGTTTCGGGTGGTGAAGCCGATCAGTGGCTTGCCGCAATGGGAGATGAGATGGAATCCCATGACAGGAATCAGACTTGGGAGCTAGTCAAACGACCACAGGGAAGGAAGATTGTTACAAACAAGTGGATCTACAAGAAGAAGGAAGGAATCACTTCTAAAGAGGGCATGAAATTTAAAGCTCGGGTGGTTGCACGAGGCTTCTCGCAGAGGGAAGGAGTTGACTACAATGAGATTTTCTCACCAGTTGTCAGACATACTTCGATCAGAGTGCTACTAGCAATAGTGGCACATTATGACTTGGAGCTTGAGCAGCTAGACGTGAAGACAGCTTTCCTGCATGGAGAGTTGGAGGAAGAAATTTACATGACTCAGCCATAAGGATTCGAGGTTCCAGGAAAAGAAGACTATGTTTGTAAGCTGAAGAAGTCCTTGTATGGACTTAAGCAATCTCCGAGGCAGTGGTACAAGAGATTTGACAGCTACATGCTTGAGCTGGGCTACAACAGAAGTCCATATGATTGTTGTGTATATCACAGCAAGGCAGAAGATGGTTCGATGATATATCTAGTTCTGTATGTGGATGATATGCTCATAGCTGCGAGGTCAAAGTCTGATATCCAGAAGTTAAAGGGGCTTCTCAGTGCTGAGTTTGAGATGAAGGATTTGGGAGCTGCTCAGAAGATCTTGGGTATGGAGATTTACAGGGACAGGTCGAAGAAGAAGCTTTTCTTGTCACAGAAGAGCTACATCCAGAAGATACTGTCGAGGTTTGGCATGTCTTCAGCAAAGCCCTTAAATACTCCTAGTGCTTCAAATGTTCATCTATCCTCAGCTTATGCACCGCAGTCAGAGGCTGAGAAGGAGTACATGTCGAGAGTCCCATATGCTAGTGCAGTAGGTAGCTTGATGTACGCTATGGTATGCACTAGACCTGATCTTGCACATGCTGTTAGTGTTGTTAGCAGGTTTATGATACAACCTGGGAGGGAGCATTGGCAGGCTGTGAAGAGGATCTTACGGTACCTTAAGGGTACACCTGATGTGGGGATTAGCTTCGGAAGTGATACAGAGTGCTTGGTGTCTGGGTATTCTGACTCGGACTATGCTGGAGATGTTGACACGAGGAGATCGATGACCGGTTATGTATTCACTCTTGGGAGTTCTGTAGTGAGCTGGAAGGCAACTTTGCAGTCGGCGGTGACATTGTCTACTACTGAGGCAGAGTATATGGCGTTGACAGAAGCTGCCAAGGAGGGAATATGGTTGAAGGGACTGGTTGGTGATCTTGGTCTACATCATGATCAGGCAGTGGTGTATTGCGACAGTTTGAGTGCAATATGCTTGGCCAAGGATCAAGTCCACCATGAGAGGACTAAGCACATCGATGTGAGGTATCATTTCTTGAGGACAGAGAGGGTATATGAATCACTTTATTTATATATATGGCAAAGACTAGCGTACGTCCGGGCGTACGCCAGCCTACCGTACGGCCCATTGAGTTTTGCTATTTAGACAAAGAATTAATCAGAGTTTGGGACATGATACTATGCCCTAACCCCTAATGGGTGAATCCCAGTCCCCAATTCACTAACCCAAAGCATGAGATTCGTTTAATCTTAAAAATGAAAATCAACGATTCTGATTCTTCGAAATTTTCATTGGTTTTCATTTTAAGATTAAACGAACCTCATGGTTATGGTTAGAAAATTAGGGGCTGGGGTTCACCCATTAGAGGTTAGGGTATAGTATCATGCCCCAAATTCCGATTAATTCATGATCTATATAGCAAAACTCAATGGGGCGTACGCTAGCCTGAACCATATATATATATATATAAAGATTATGATCATACTCACAGTGTAGACATTATTAGGAACTATTTATGGGTGGTGTTGACACATCAGCGTCAACGGTTGAGTGGAGCATGTCGGAAATGATAAATAATCCGAGAATACTACATAAAGCACAACAGGAGGTGAGACAGGCGCTCGGTGATGACCGTGGAAACAGTGTGGACGAAGCTAGCCTTCATCGGTTGAAGTATTTGGATATGGTCATCGCCGAGACTTTAAGATTACACCCGCCGGGTCCTCTGCTCGTTCCGCGAGAAAATAGAGAGCGACAGGTGGAGCTGAATTCGTACGTCATCCCGGCCAACACCCATGTTATCGTGAATGCATGGGCGGTCAATCGAGATCCCCGTTACTGGACGGAGGCGGAGAGATTTGTTCCGGAGAGATTTGTGGACCGCTCCATTGATTATACGGGGAACGATTTTCAGTTCATTCCATTTGGTGCTGGGAGAAGGATGTGCCCTGGAGTTTCTTTTGGAACGGCGGTCGTAAAACTTACTCTAGCTAGTTTGCTTTTCCATTTTGACTGGTCACTTCCGGCTGAACAAAAAAGCATTAATCTGACAGAATGCTTTGGAGCTACACTCAGAAGACAATATGCACTTCATCTTCTTCCAACTCAATATTGCAGCGTGCTTTGAATTATGAAAAACAACTACTCTTCTCTTTGCTTTCATATGTATAATTTCTTTAATCCTACGGGTCATCTGTTTTTTTGTGTGTGTTGTATTTCATAAAAAACACTGCCATAGTAATATGAAAATTTGTTTCTCCACAATACCATATGATCAGGCATTTTTTTACTTCCATTTCTCTTACTATTTATTATTTAGTCCTCAACTGGAGGGTTTTCTTTTGTTTGCAAGCTAAAAAAGTCACATCATTAACGCATGTAATCAATTTCCTTAAGCTGTCTTATAAATCATTTAATTTGTGGAATTTCACATATATTCATGCACAAATCTAAATTTTCATAGATCTCAACTAATTCATCAATTTCTTTATGCAATCTCATTAATTTCATCAACCTCTCCTTATATCGAGATTTATGAAATCAAATGTTCTCTGATATTATAGTTAGGGTGTGCCTACGGTGACATGCATGTCATGGTGACTTGCACTTTCCGGTCGACCTCAGTTAGGATGAGGTCGACCTCATTTAGAATTCGGTCGACCTCATATAGGATCTGGTCGACCTCATTTAGGATTCACAAACACGTTTCCAGACTTAGCCATTTCCAAGCAGTTTCCCAGTTTTGGCATAGCCTTTTGATGAGGTTCAAAAATGGTCTTCTGGACTTCCTATCGAGCTCTCAATCACTTCAATATGTAGAGGGACACTCCAGCTTCAAAACAAGTCATTAGTCTTCAATTTTCATCTAGCCAATTGTAAGATATGAATCTCCAAAGTAGGCACCATGAAACTGTTTTTACACTGAAACAACAAATTAGGTCGACCTGATCCTATATGAGGTCGACCGAAAAGTGCATGTCACCATGACATGCATGTCACCGTAGCAAAGTCCTTATAGTTAAATAATATAAATGTGTCTTTTACCATCCCGCAAATCAATAAATAGTGTGCACGTAGCGAAAAATTATATTAATATATAATAAACCCTTATCTTATATTTTTCAAAGTAAAGATACCTAATGTCAGTACTGACCAGCTCCCTGATATTATTTGGTTTAATTAATTGTCGAGAACTCGATATCAGATATCATCACATGCAACCATTTTATTTTATATTTATTATCCACATCAGCGTATGTTTACAACGGAAAAAAATCAAAGATCTGAACCAGAAAATAAAAACATTACCGAAAAAAATATAAACAAATAATCCCAATATATAAAGCACCGTATAGAGAGACGCTCACAACCAATATAGTAGTGGTGGGTGCTTTCAGATCCTCATACGAATAAGCTTCATTACCATAGAAAAACCTTAACCAAAGCTTCCTTCTTAGGCATTCCTTGTATTAAGTTAAATTAATGTTTACCATTAAAAAAATCACTCAATACCACATTGATTATTTTCAAGGAGTGGTAGTGATTTATAAGGTCAACTTAACTATGTTAATTAAATTGGCTTAGTTTGGGCCTAAATAATAGTATTTTGGGCTTCATACCAAGTACCTCAACACACACCACTTGACCCACCAAACACCCACCCGTCACACAAGGGGGGTCAAGTGTCAAGCATTGACACCCTTCAACATCAACCACCCAAGTGGGCACCTCATCATGCTTAGCCAGCCGCTCGCGGGTAATTACCCCTAAGCACGTGGTGGCAAAGACAGCCAAAATTTGGCTAAGTGTTGAGACCCACAACACAAAGGGGGTCATGCATGACATCGTCCAAGGGAGGTATCGTCCAGGGGGGCAACACAAGGGGGGTCAAGTGTCAAGCATTGACACCCTTCAACATCAACCACCCAAGTGGGCACCTCATCATGCTTAGCCAGCCGCTCGCAGGTAATTACCCCTAAGCACGTGGTGGCAAAGACAGCCAAAATTTGGCTAAGTGTTGAGACCCACAACACAAAGGGGGTCATGCATGACATCGTCCAAGGGGGGTATCGTCCAGGGGGGCACCGCGAGTACCCCTAGCCGTGGTGGCAAAGAGAACCAAAATTTGGCTAAGTGTTGAGACCTAACCACAAGGGGGGTCAAGCATGACATCATCCTAGGGGGTCTAGCATGATGTCATGCAAAGGGGTCATCGCGCTAGACATGATGGGGCAAAGAAAGCCAAAATTTGGCTAAGTGTTGAGACCCACAACACAAAGGGGTCATGCACGGTGGGTCAAGCACATGATACCATCCAAGGGGATCTAGCCACCTACCAGGTATCAAAGCGTGTGGCAACTGGCAAGGGGAGAAGGGCAACACAAGTCACTAGACCATGATGAGAAAGAAGGCGAAAATTGGCCAAGTGTTGAGACCCAAAGCACAAGAGGGGTCAAGCATGACATCATCCCAGGGGGGGTCAAGCACTATGCCATCTACCTACGTAGCTTGCGCTAGGGTGTCAAGCATGATGTCGTGCAAGGAGAGATATCACGAGTCTCTAGACCATGGTGGTGAAGAAAGCCGAAATTTGGATTAAGTATGGAGACCCAACCACCAGGGGGTCAAACACGACATCATGCAAGGGGGGTCATGCATGACGCCGTCCAAGGGGGTCAAGCACCGGATACCAAACACTAGGGTGTCAAGCATGATGTCGTGCAATTGCTTTGACACTCACCTCTCAAGTACCCAAGCAAGAGCAGGCGTGTGCTAGGTCTCGTGCAAGGTCATCAAGTTTCTAAGTAGTCAGCCATGTATATCATCATATGGTAGACCACCTTGTCAAGTCCCTGCAAGCATGATGCCACCCCAAGGGGGTCAGTGTGCATCCATCAAACCCCCAAGCACCCTGGTGTCGAGCATGACGTCATGTCAAGGTGGTTAGCACGAGTGCCACCAAGCGCGAAGCCTTCACTCATCAAACAAGACACATCCATGGCACAAGGGGTTAACTATCAAGTGAAGTCATCAAGTGTCAAGCACGCAAGACAGTCAAGGCGTCAAGTAAGCCACATCAAGCACCAACCAGTGGAGCAGCGGTTACCAAGAGGCGGTTGCACGACGGTTACAAGGGATGACTATAAATAGGAGAAACGAAAACGAAGCAAGGGTTCCACAACCAAACACTTGACAACACATGTCAAAATTTATCTTTTCTCTTCAACTTGCCTTTTAGTTTTTCGGAGCTCTCACTGAACCTCCATAGGAGTAGAGTAACGTAACGTAGCTTATTCCCAAAAAACCATAAAAAAACATCAAACACCCTCGTTCGAACATTGTTCGGAGAGGTGTGAACTGTGTTATTGTCGTTGTTCAAGAAGTCAAAGGTGCATTCATTGTGTTCAAACACACGTTTTTCCTCGCCGGAAAACAAATTGGCACACCTGGTGGGACGACTGTGTGTTTGATTTTATGGCTCCTAGATGAAAGAATCAAGAAGGTGATCTTCCACAAGGTGTTGTGGAGGAGGAGCAAGTGGCCGGCGGTGAAGCAGGCCAAGCCGGAGGAGTTTCAGGCAACCTTGCCGGAGCGGAGGTGCCACTCACGTCGGCGCCAAATGTTGATCTAGGCGAGGGCGCGAGGCAGTTGTGTCTCTTTGCCAGATGATGGAAGAGAACCGCAAAACGACGGAGGAGAACCGCCAAATGATGGTGGAGAGTCGCCGGTTGATGGAGGAAGCCACAGATATGGCTCATCAGGTAAATTCTCAAGTTGATTGTCTCAATTCTTGTGTAGATAGACGTTTTGGTCAAATGTTTGAGGTAGTTAACAAACATTCAAACGAGTTAGATCAATTTAGACAATTATTAAATGGACCAATGGTACAATCACGAGCTTTGCCAATTGATAGCGCAAGTTCAACTCCAAACAATGCAAGTTTTTCTCCCGTCGGTGGCCGAAATGGCCAACTACGACAAGATAACTTACCGCCGTCGGTGACAACCCAACCAACCTCTCACCACGTGAATCGCGGCGAGATTCCCGCCACCACTCAGGTGGAGGCTTCAGTTAACGTGGGAGTTGGGTAATTGCCTCCACGTGGCAAAAATTTCGCCACTACGTTCAACACCCATGTTGAATAACCGCCATCCATCCCAGTGGCGAGACCCTACGTAGCTCCTGCTAACATGGATGGGGGAGGAAGGTTAGGTGTTGAATGGACACTTCCAGATGATCTGAAGAGAATTGATATGACGGAATGCTTTGAAGCGACACTCAAAAGGCAATATGCTCTCCTTCTAATTCCAGTTCTACGGTCCCCCCTTTGAATTAAAGCAAATAAAACGCTAATAAAGATGTCCATTTTATATTTGTATTTTCTTTTATTTTTCTAAGGGAAGATTGAGACGACAAATTTGATCAGATGTCCAAGAGTAGATCTAGGTGTCACCTCAAGCCCTGTGAATTTGATCAGATTGAGACGACATATTTGATCTGAGATATATTTTCATTGGCTAAGAGGAATATCCTGTGAATTACGTGTCACCTTAAGCCCAAGAAAATTAGACAAGTCACCTAAATCCTTAAGACTGAAGGATGCATGAAGACCATCTTTAAGACGATGAATCCCCTTGAAATCAATACAAGTGATGATCATATCATCTACATAGAGTAAGAGAACAAAAATTATGATTGCAGCCTTCTGGGTGAAAAGAGCTGGATCATTCAACCTCTGTTTGAACCTGAGACCAGAGATAGTAGAATGAAATTTCTCAAACCAGGCCCTAGGCGCTTGTTTAAGATCATACAGAGATCGAATGAGACGACAAATTTGATCAGATGTACCAAAAGTAGATCTAGGTGGCTGCTCCATATATATGACTTTATCTGAATCACTATGTAAAAAAGGCGTTCTTGACATCTAACTGGAATAAAGGAAATTCCTGACGTGCTGCCACAGCAAGTAAGGTACGAACAATAGACATTTTTGCCATTGGGGTAAATGTCTCACTGTAGTCCACCCCCAAGCTCCTGAGTAAATCCATGTGCCACAAAACGAGCTTTGTAACGATAGACTGTCCCATCAGGTTTCATCTTGACTGTGTATACTCATTTACAGCCAAC